TCCTATACTGACTATTATTTATCTCGATGCCTTGCAAAAACTACTACGGAACTAGCTACTATGTTTACTGTTTTCTGGATTTGCCGGCGTTTGCGGGTTTTTGCGGGTGTTTTGCGGATTTTTGCGGGATGTTTGCAGGGCGTTTTGGTCCCTTTTTTTGTTTTTTTTGCTGATTCTGTGCGAAAGTGCTTTGAAGAGAAAAAGTAGGCGGGGTTGCGGAGTCAGACCTGCATACCCAACTCCACTGCACTACTACTCTGGCAGCCTCAAAAATTGCTACTTACATGCGCGGGAGACGGGAGGAAAATATGATGAAACAAACATTCAAAATTATCCAATTTCCATGGTTTTTGGGCGTTTCAGTGTTTGATGACGACCCCCAAAAAACTAGGCGGTTTCGACCATAATTGGTAAACAACCAAGAGGGTCAAAATATATTAGGCGCTTGAAAATCCAGGTATAGTTTAATGGGCGATTATACACCAACAAACATTTCACTGCGGGGGATACATCATTGGTTCATATCCCGTTTCAAGTTCTATATGCCACTATATGGAGGTTTCCTAAAATGGGAGTACCCCTAAATCATCCATTCTAATAGGATTTTCCATTATAAACCATCCATTTTGTAAACTACCATATCCCAGTCTACCTATCAGGATACTATCATAACTGGGTGGTTATACCACCCTGCAGGAGTCGTTTACACGGCACCTTCGATGTCTTCACGAACTCCGCCACTTTCCTCAGGGTCGGAAGTTCATTATGCTGGAAGCATGGGATGTCGTATAGCAACCCGCAAGTAGATAGAAAGAATGGACACCTGGAGGTTTTGCCGGAAAACATATCATCTACCACATCCTGGTACCAAAAAAATGTATCTTTCTGAAGGTTACATTGTAGTTGATCACCAAAATCAACGGGTGTTTCCAAGAGAGTATTGTATGGCATGGGATGTGTAGGACAACTAAATAAAGCTTATTCAAATCGTAGTTCAACCTTCCTGAACCAGTAGTCATTCATCGGGGATCATCACAGGGATAGAAACCCATGCAGGGAGTTTCCCCCATCGAACTATATAATCCCTTACCCTGTTCATGTTAAACACAACCCATCGACAATGTTTTAAAAAGGAATGAAAGCACATAACACAAGCCATAGACAATGGTTTTTCGTGATGAACATACATATTGGGGACCTTAGCCATAGAATGTTGTTCATGAACGGATGGGATTAGTTCCATATATCCCCGCCAGTGGAACTCCGGTCGAATGGAGATCATCATCCCCTAAAAATGCCTCTGGTAATTTCTTACAGGCTATGGTGATGACCCATTTGTAAAACCCCAAACTCTGCTGATCTTCAATAGCGGTAAACCAACTACCCAAGGCTAAATGAATGCAATTCTTCGCGCCAGGAAAGAAGCAAAGAACAAACGACGAACGCAGCCGGGTGACTCTTCCATTTCCTTTTTCAATTTCTCTTGCCTCGCAAACAGGGCAAATTTGCTGGGATAAAGGGACAACTGTTGCATCAATTTCTTGCGACTTCGCTGGTTGGAAGTCCCTGTCTGCCGAGGGTGCTCCCGTGGTCGCCAAGTTCTGGCAAGATGCTCTAACTTCTTTTGCTCCTGATTGGTGCCACAAGGTGGGCACCAAAATGTGATGTTTGTTGGTCTGTAACCACCAAAAAATACTATAATTGCAATTAATTATCTAATATGAACTATTCAAATTAACATATGTTTAATATGTTCTAATTGCCACAAACCGGTGAAATTGGAACTGCACCAACTTATCGTTAACCTTGTAGGTTGGGTAACGAAATCACTGGGCTGGGGGATGAACTGCCGTGAAAATTATCAGGGTCAAATGATCTACATCCTTTCTACCAATCCACAAAGCAATTCTACAGTGCCCCCGAGTTATGTGAACGTTGGTTCAGAAAATCCCCATCAACTATAGATATAAATCTCTCATAAACCCTAGATTAATTGAACTTATTTGCACCAACTTAGCGTTCACGAACTGGGGCACTTATTTAAAAACCTCATGAGTACTATAGTTATATCTAACATGACATAAACCATAGTTAAGTCACTTATAAGGCAACATCCGTAGCTCCTCCTCGAGCTTCTTCGCATGGAGGTCGTCGATGCGCTTCTGCGCCTGCTCCAAGGCTTTCGTCGCCTCCTCCGACACCTGCAGCCGTGCAGAGGTGGCCCGCTCGCAGAATCGATGAATGGTGGGAACAAAAACCCATGGTTTTATAGTAAATTATAGTAAGATAGATGGCTATTAGTTATAACATATTATAACTGGTGATTTCTACGGGATTATGAGGATTATAGATTCCGCGCATGGGGTGGCTTGTTAGTACTTCTAACTGGTATCACTCGGGCCACTGGAAGATACGCTTTCTACTGATGATTGGGATCACCACATTAATCACTAGCTTGGTAGCTATCAATCATCACTATATATCGATTGAAAATGGCAATTTATAGTTGGTTTACCCATTAAAAATGGTGATTTCCCATAGTTAGGTAAACGTTTACCAGAGGGTATCCAGGCGGTGGGTGATGATATGATGGTGGATATCAATGACATTAGCAGCACATCGTTTTTTTAAAGTGTCTCCGTATGGAAGTGCAAACCCAACCATTTGCAAGTTGGTTTATTAGCCCAGCTAAGTAAGGAGCACCACCTTGAACATATATATATATATAATTATATATATATAATAATAATGATGATAATAAATATAGAACAAATATAAATATATTTATACTGGTAAATGAAAACATGTAATTAACATATAATAAAATGAAACATCATGAAACAACATATAGTATTGTACAGCATATGTAAAAACGATACACAACTGCAGGACAAAAACCTTCATTTGTTGTAAGGAAACACACATAAGTGTGGTAACCCCAAAAATGGAAAAGTGAATCTTCGCTATAAGATGCTATAATATCCCTAAAACCGTCACGGTCATCCTGGTGACGAGTCAATTCTGGGACGACCCCAGTTGGACCATATCCTACCGTCGTTCCCGATGGATCATCCTCCAAGCATGGTACCTGCCGGTCCTGGTTGCGAAGTGGTTCTGCTCGTTTGGTTCGACGTAGCTATTCCATGCTATTTCAATTTCTGGATTGTATGATTGTAATGTAAACATAGAATGATTGTAATGTATTTCAATGTTTTACTGGATGGTTTCTATTTCAATGATCCCTTTTCAAAGGGACATCAGTGTAATTTAGCCCACCGCTGTAGAACCCAAAATCTCCAATGATTGTTGGTGAAATCCCGCCTTGATATTCCACGTAGGATGGATGACCATACCGTGCCAATCTCATGTAACTTGACCATGTTTTCTTTTATATAAATATTATTGAATGTTCATTCATATTCCATAACATATCACCAGTTTCCATATAGATCCAGTTCTTCGATTAGATTCGCTTTTTACATAACACCATGAAAGATTCCATTGAAATATCACCATGATATCATGACTGGTTGGTGGTTTCAACCCCTCTGAAACATATTAGTCAGTTGGGAGTATTATTAATAAAGCCATGTTCCAAACCACCAACCGGATAGATATTTATAATTATTGACAATTGCCATAGAAATAGTTGATTTTCCCATTCATAGCATGGTGGATCTTTCCATAGATATTTTATGAGATTCCCAATAAAATCACCATGAGATCACCATGGCCATGGCGGATTCTCCCAGTGAAGCGCCTTGTCTGCCTGGGTTCCCATGGCCTCCAGGTTCCTAGGCTGTGGTGGGTTCTTGTCTTGGGGAAGTGGGCATGTATATATATAATATTAGGTGTATATATATATAGTTATATATATATATACATATGTAGTTTAGTTATAATGTATATACATATACATATACATATACATATACATATACATATACATACATATGTATATACATACACACGTATGTACATATATGTATTAATATATATACATAATATATACACAATACGAGTACATATGTAGTATCTAAATCTGTCCAACATCAATGGGTCTACCCAATCCACATCGACTGTTGCACCAACACACATTGAGCGTTGGAGCATCCCCTCCCTGGTCCATGAAGGTTTAGGAATCCTGGGACATCAGCCATACTGCAGGTATCATTAATAACATTTAGTACTGTAACCTTTAGTTACATTTAGATTAATCATAATTTCATAATCAGCCATAACTGGTTCTAAACCTGATAATCATCTGAACCAGTAAACATCTTAATACTGCAGGTATCATCATAATCAGCCAGAACATTTAGAAGAACACAAGGTGAACCTTGCATAACCTTTCTGGTTCTGAAAAATTCTTTGGTGTATAATATCCACAGCTTTAGTTCTTGACATCCTCATATTGGTTGTCTATATGTTCTTATTTTAAGCTCATGGGTGTTCCAATTTTCAGGGTTGACACGTCAAATGACAAATTGAATTTCTATGTGTCTTTCCCATTTTGCAGGAGTTGACCCTACACTTAACATGAGCAGTGTTCCAAAAAATATGTCGTCCCTGTATACTGGTTGGCAAAAAAATGATTTCCCAATCATGGATTGATTACGTAGTATTCCCAATATCTTGGATACTATAATCCCACATATCCCAAATATATATATATTGGCATATTCCTTTAAATATCCATTAATGGTTGGCTATAATCCCAAATATCATCATCAAGAGGGGTTTTGAACTTCAACATGATCCATCCAAGTTCCCAGTGATCTACGCCAGGGCTCTTTGCTTGGGTTTCCTCAAGCTGAGCCTTGGTTCCCATCGCGGATGGGAAGCTCAGGATCTGTGGTTTAGAAACTATCCAATTTTTATCAGCCAAGATATATCATCCCATCTTTTCAAGCGGGGATCTTCCATGAAAATATGTTTTTGTTTTTTGTTGACCCTTTTACCAAGTGGGATGCGCTCAAGTTGGGTACCGGCTGCTGGCTTTACCAACACTTTGGGGGACAATGGCCACGTGGTGTTGTCCATTGGTGTCCCCCAGTCATGTTTGTTGGTTAAACACCTCACATCTAACTAGTTGGATATATCTACCATAAATCCGAGTTAGTGTAGTTACGATATGTAAAGCAGGGGGCACGGCATTTCAGCGATTTTCTTGGGGGGGATTAGCCACTAATCATTCAGATATGTTTGGGATATGAATCATCACACACGTTGTAGTTTCACCATCAAACATGTGTATCTAACTAGAAAACATGAGGTGTATGAAATATTTGGAGAAATTCAGAGGATATACAATGATATACATATAAATATCACCAGTTAAGGGTTAGTGGGTACAAGATCAAGCATTTATTCCAATACTTACTGGGGATATTCACGTAGTCAATGGGATTTGTTTTGCCAAAAAGAAGTGCTCACCGGCAAACATGGCAGATTGTCTGAAACAAAAACACAAGTTACACCGTTGCACCCATTTAAACCAATCATTTTATGAGGATACAATGGGATATATATATATATATGTATAGTAATATGTGGAGATATAACTACAATCTAGATCTGGATGTGTCAAAACTGATGGGGTTTAACCGTTTAACCCCAATATGTCCAAAACCATGGTACTTGTGGGAGGGTGAACCCGATTTCAAATAAACGCACAAAACATAACACAGTGGTGTTTTGATGCTCTTCAAGCTCACGCATCTTTGGGTTCCCAATTGTTGGTGCAAACCTTGGTACCCTACCTACCCTAAAATAGATGTTTAATGGATGGTTATTCCCCAAATATGGTAATTATATGTAATAGTATAAAATCATGATAGTAATAATAGTAAATTATGATTTTTAACCCATATGTGGATATTTGGGGATAGTATGGTACCATATAATGGGGATAGTAACTAATACTAATAGTAATCATGGGGATAGTAAATTATACTATTAGTTATATCCCCATTTGGATAGTAATAATATGCTTTTAATACTATCCCCAAATGGTAATAATAGTTACTAATACTAATAGTAATATATGTAATACTCATACTATCAATATGTTTTTTGTCCATCCTCATTTGGAAAAAATATCTTCGCTGGTCTCATCGTTTGGCCCCCCGTTGTTAAACGTGTTGCTGGTTGGTGGTTGACCTACCCCAACCTGAAAAAATATATGACTTCGTCAGTTGGGATGATGACATTCCCAATATATGGAAAAATACAAGCCATGTTCCAAACCACCAACCAGGCTATCATTGCAATTTCCACAAGCCAATATCCGTCCCTTACATGTTTAGTATGGCCGGTTTTTTTGTGGTGGCTCATATGGAATATACCAAAAAATCCAAACCACCAAGCAGCATTGGTTTATAACCGCCAGTAAGAATCCATTGAGTACTTCGTTATATCCCCCGTGAACCCAACACTTCGCCTTGCGGCAAATGTGCGTCAACGTGTTTCGGTCGCTTTTGTCGGTCTAGGCTGGGGTGCCCACCTTGCAATATGAAACACCCATGAATTGGTGAAACTTAGGACCATCAAGTGGTGAAACACCCATGAATTGTAATATGAAAAACCTTAAAAAAAAACCACAGACTTACCCTCTGGTAAACTAACATAACTATGGAAAATCACAAGTTTTAATCGGAAAACTCTCACTATTTCTATGGCCATTTTCAATAGCTATGTAACAGTCATTACCAGAGGGTAGGTTTTTTCTCCCGCCGGGCTGCTCTGAGTTCATCGTAGTTGTCTGGGTTGGCCGTTCGCACTTTTTGAATCGCCTGCGAACATTCGCATTGGCTGCATCGCAGGCACCAGTATGGCTGGTTGGTGGTTTCAAGTCATGGTTGCACCTACCATGGTCATCATCATGGCTGGTTGGTTTATAGGGATTCCCCGTTCTTGGATTATGAAATCTGGTTGGTGGTTGAGCCTACCCCTCTGAAAAATATATGAGTTCGTCAGTTGAGATGATTATTCCCAATATATGGGAAAAAAAACATGTTCCAAACCACCAACCAGTTGTGGTTTTGAAGCAATGCTTCAAACAAGTGATCCCCAAGTCATTTCATAGTTGGTCTATCAACCCACTAACTATCCCAATGGATCCAAACACTGTCTGAGAAGGTACAAGACACCCCCTAAATCATACCCCAAGTACTTCCTAAGGAGGTACAATTGGATCCATAGGGACATATTATACTGTTGGATAAAAACCAAATATTGCTATATATATATAATGTCAGTTTATCAACCCATTAACTATAGTTCTATCATGTTCTATCGCCATCAATCCACTTCACCAACCCACCAGTGCAAGTGGCCTTGCGCACAGCCAGCGCGGCGGCGTGTTCCTTTCGAGCCGACTCTTCGGCTTCTCGTTTGGCCTTCAATTCCTCGACCCTGATCGTGCAGCTGTGTTGACGCACATCTGTGGACATGCAAATATTGAGTGCCATGCATATAGTATTTTAAAGATAGCACATTGCCACATGATGCAAATGTTGAGTTGGGTTAGAGAGTGTGTGCATATATATAATATATTTTTATATATTGTAACGTATACTGATATCATGTATATTAAAGTATGTAGGTATATTAAAGTATGTAGGTATCTATGGATGCATGCGTATTCTATGTATACATGCATTGGAATAGGAACAACCATAACTGGGGTTGGGATATGAACCATTTGGAGTCGAGAGACATCCGGATGTAAATCAGCAATAGTGGGGATATGAGCACAAAATCAGACACATAAGTGAGGATACCCTCTGGTAAATTAACATAACTATGGAAAGATCCACCATTTTCAATGGGTAAATCCACTCTAAATGGCCATGTTCGATAGCTATGTTAAATTACCAGAGGATATTCTCCAACCAACAAACAAATTGGGGATGCCTATTAATATATTATATCACTTGACATATGTAATCTCTCGTGTGAAAGACCGTGGGATAGTGGGATATTGACCTCAACAAGCAAACATGGGATTTGAGATATGTACTGCCAACATAAATATGGAAGAATGGGCACAATACGGACTAAACCTGGAAAAAATATTGACAAACTATGGAAAAATGGGTACAACCTACACACTGGGACTTCCAAATGTCCCGGCGAAGATTGCGAATGCTGAACTCGAGTTTTTTCGCGACTCATCCTCATTTTGGCTGCTGAACATGTCCTCAGCTTGCTTGGTTAACATCCCCAACAAAACTTGTGGCTTACTGATGTTTACTGTACATCCCCAACCTTTCCCAGAGTTGGATTCAGGAAACACAAGCAGAAAACCATATTTCTTTGGGCGGTAAAACAAGAACTTTGTTGCTCAGCATCATCCCCCAGCCGGCCCATCAGGACGCTAGTCGTGGCTCCTCAGTTCAATGAATGTTTGACGGTGAGTTAATGCAACACGGGACACCTCCAAATGACGACACCCGGAAAATCATGATGAACCATTGGACTTGAGAGCCCTTGCAATTTTCCGGGTTGTTTGCCGGACTCAAGAACGCCAGAAAAAATCCTCAAGAAAACATTTTCGTTCTTATCCACTGGTTCCACTCAATGCTCTTTTAATGGGGAAAAATACCCGTAAATCATCCATATTCTATGTTAGGATGTGCCATTATGACTAATCATTATGAAGCAACCATTAAGAGGGGTACCCCCACGACTATGGAAACCCCCACGATGTTCGAAGCCGCGAAGCCCCGCCTTTTTTTCGATTCTTCTTCTCGCCTCTTCACCTGACGAATCAGTGAGGATCTTCTCTGGCAATTCAACAGGAATACCTATCCTGTCGTGACCCAAACATTGCAATAGTATTGAAACCAGTGGTTGATAGCGGTTAATACTTCACAAGGAACAAAGTTTATGCTTCTTGGGAGCTTTACGAAACATCCATTTCGGTCAACTGCGGATCACATTTTCAAGTCCGTTTTGTGTGGCAGGTGTGGGACGGTCAATCATCACCCTCTTTTAAATATATAAGATTTTAAAGTTTTTGGAGGGTGGAAATGCGACCGGGGTACGACAAAGCTAAATGCTAGGATTCTACGGGGGAAGGGTGTGCAGAAGAAGAAACCAAACATGTTCACGGTGGGAAGCTCAACAAGCGCAACTTTTGTCCTACCAGTGTATACCTAATTTGGTGGAATTTTCCATGGGCAAATGGTGTCCCGGACAATTTTTTGGGATCCGATTGGTAACTTTGTCCACTGCTATCACTGACAAATGTGAATATTCCTTTGGTAGATCGCCATTTGGAATGGTTTTAACCCAGATATTTGATAGTTCAATCATGTAAAACAATCCCTCTTGATGAAGCATCAACAGTTGGAGTAGCTGGTGCGTTCCCAGTTTTCCTGCTTTTCAATTTGTAACTTCCAGCGGTTATCCAAACGACTTACCACAAAATTCCCAGCTGCGAAAAAAAAAACAGATGGGAGTGGCTGGAAGGCCATGTACACTATTAACCACTACATGTAAATATTACATTAGGCCCTAAATAAGATTATATATATATATATATCCCATATCCCATATATATATGTATAACAATGTTCTAGTATCCCGTATATTCAATGTATAGATGGTTGACCACTATTTACCACCATTAAATTCCATGTATACATATATGGTATATTCGCTTAAGGGGTCGCCAAAAAATACAGCATGTTCTCTATAATGATTCCACACATGGGGGATTTTCCATTCGGAAAATAACAACTCACCTGAAATCAAGCTAGGTATATTGTACATACAACATCCCATTAATCATTCAATTAACAACATTAAACACCATAAACTATAAAGTATCTTTAACTTAAGGTTTCCAATCCATGGGGTATTGGGGATCCCCCTATGAAAATGGACACCTCCATAAAATTGTTCCTTATCATTATTATTTTCCAGTTATGTCGCAACAAAATAAAGGATTAGTTTCTACCTATCCACGGCTATGAATGAGAATATTATATATATATAACTTGCATTATAGCATCTCCGCATCTCCAAACATCTACAGTTATGGCCATTTAGTAGTTATAACTTGTTATTTCTATGGGACTATACATTCCATAAATGGGGTGACTTAGTACTTTAAAATTGTATTTTGGGCCTTAACTGTAAGAACACCTGTTACCCTCTGGTAAACCAACAAAGCTACGGAAAATCATCATTTTAAATAGGTAAATCAACAAATTATATAGGCCATTTTCAATCCATTTTCAATAGCTAACAGTTAGTTTACTGGAAGGTAACTGGCTTCACCAGAAAATATCAGTACCAATCTTAGATACCCTGCCAAAAAAAAACAAATTCTTAGCTGGTGAATAGATCATCCCATACCAAAAGACTAAAAAAAGTTTCTAAGGGATGATTGAATATATATATATATGTATATATATACACATAATTTCTATTATAACATCTCGAAACATCTAAGAACATCTGTTAACTAGTGTTAACTATTGTTACCTGGCTTCACCCAAAAATGTTGTTTTTGTCAGTACTTCAAACTGGTTTTTCGGGCCATAAACATCTGATAAAACATCTGGTTTCACCAGCTGGTTGGTGGTGCAATAACCATCTTGAAAAATGATGGAGTTCGTCAATGGGGTCTGGGATGACATCCCATCTATCAAATGGAAAACCAAACATGTTTGAAACCACCAAGCAGCCAGAAAATCTTCCCATCCGGGAATCTCTTCTCACCTCCTCCAGCTGTTTGGAGTTCACTGCGCGCACACCAGGCCGCAGCCCGGCCCGCGGACCCAGCGCGCCCGCAGCGCCGGCGCGGATTGGGATGGTGGCGGGGCCACCACCGTGCCTCAGCGGGTGCTTGGGAAAAAGTGGGGGAAAGCTATAGGAAAACCATGGAAATCCATGGAAAAAACTTCAGAAAAGTGGGGATAAACCACTTAGATATACTTAGATCAATCAGATTCATGGGATAAGCCCCAGGAAATGGGGATTTCCGATCACCAGCTTGCTTTTCTTCGATGAAAAAAAGGGAAGATGTGACACTTTTCCAAACAAAGTAGGATTTGTAAGATTGGAAAAACATATATATATATATATATATCTGTTTCAAGACAAATGTGGGAAAACACATGATTTGCTCAGGCAAGAATGTGAGGGACATATTTCGAGAATTGTTTTGTAAATCGACATTTCATAGAAATCCATGGCTCTTCGAATCAAAAATGGGGCGGCTTTCCATAAAATGCCCCTGCAAACAAATCCAAGAAGATCACGGCGCTGAAAATGATGGCAGAATCTATGGCATCATCTTTGGGCTATATAGTGAATTCAAGCATTCAATGGGTTGGTTTCCAGGAAGTTCTATGGGAAACCATTGGTGCTTTCCCGTCGAAATGAGCAGGATGAACCTCCAAGTGTTGCACCATACTCCATGCCCAAATTAGTCAGTGATTACAAACCAATCCTTGGTCAATAGACATGAACAAACACCTTCATTCCAAGTATGTGTGCTTAAAACACATGTCAAACCCACTAAATTCGGGGTTCTTAAAACATATTATAACCGCTTCTGCTTGATGGTAATAGTCTGCGTCTTTGCATGTGTAAAACCACCGCTACACCACTATTCCAAATTCATTTACACTCATCAACTCACCAACAAATCATTGAACAAAAACACACACACACACATACCATTTCTGGATGATTTTTTCCAATGATAGGTGGCTAAATGACCCCCAAATCAAAAACTGCTCCCCGTTTCACAAAACATGTATCATCTAGCTCTTAACCATCAAAACAAAGAATCTAGACATGCTTAAATGACCCCATCTGTATGAATACATATGAATATCATATTCATATATTATGTATTCATCATATTGCAAAGAAATATGATATTCAACATGTTTTTTGTGAACCCTGTTTCAAATAGCATCAATATTTCGAATCGCCAGCACCACGGGATAACCATGGCACGTGAGCTGAACGCTGGGATCTACTGCGCCATCCCAAGGCACCTGATTTTTGGTGGGGGTGATCTCGAGGTCAGCGGGAACCGTTCATTAAACGAATGGCAATGGCTAACTTCACTAGTAGTTCTTGGGAGGTACGTTGGTACCATAGTTTTGGCCAGATGAATTGTGGGGATATTCCCTGAAATTCGGGTACAGGAGCAGAGTGGCACAGGAGCCGCCTGGCGCATCAATGATGCCATAGGCACTGTGCGGGGAAAGGAGATCTAACACCTCAAGCATGGCCAGAGGGATGTCTTGGCATCCTGTGCGGTGGGTGCCGGTGTCTCGAGTCAACGGAGGTCCCATTGCACGCCCCTTGGACTGATCTCCCTTGGATTTCTTCCAATCCTTATTGATTGGGACTGATCTCCTTGGCGCCAGGGAGGAATGGAAGAAGGTGCAGCATCACTCCCTTTGCCCTGGAAGGATGGATCCCACTGCCATGGGATTGGATGGGCAGGACCATGCCATTCTCCTCGCTGCTTCTTATTTTCGATGTGTTGGATCAAAGCAACTATTCTTTTTTGCCCCTTGTTCTTCCTCTTATAGCTGGAATGGATCACTGCCTGGTAGCATAGGCTTCTTGATCTTCCTCCTCTTGAGGATCAATCCTTGGGGCCGCACTGTGTCTTGGTGTTGTGATTTCTGCTGGACGTTCACACGGAACAGGTTTCACTCCGAACGCCAAGACTTGAAGATGTCAGGCAAGAAAGTAATTTTCAAACCGCCCAAAATGCATGGCAAGGCCCATACCAAATGGAGGGTGCATATATCATTCATGCATTGGCCATTCCTTTTCATTCACCATCTTCCCTACACTTCAATGATTCACTTCCCGAAACATCTGGTTGGAATCCCGTTTTAATATTGCAAAGAGAAAACCAAACCATTTTCACAATCAACGAAAAAACCATGAACACAGTCTTCCCCTACACTTAATGGTTTTTCTGTTGATTAATCAACCGAAAATGGTCTCATTAAGACCCATTAAAGTGAAGCTCCAACTGAACCCCCGAAAAAACAGCCAGGGATCAGTGAAATCCACCATGCCAGCGGGATCATCCCACAATGGCTAATAGATTCTATATGTACAAATATTAGCGATCAGCTATATATATACATATATATGTGTATAATTATGTACATATATATGTATGTGTAAAAAATATGTATGTATATAGTTACATATACAGTATGCACGCATATTATTAAAATACAAATATTGTTTATGTCAGTATCATTCCTGTCGTCAACAGTAGACTGCTGCGTTGAAATTGTTCATGTATACTGTAAACACAACTATATATGTCCCCAGTTCAAACACAAAAAATAACAGTCAGCTGAGTCAGCTATCACATGAAACAGCATGAACCGCTCGCGTGTTGCAAAGGCGCTGCGATTATTTAATTCCATCCCCCTAGCACTTGATGTTCCCTCAACTTGCGCCCCAAACTCATGAATAGATCCTATCCTAAACGAGGATTTTGTTCTGGGTATGTTAAAAGGTGGACATAATTATATAATTATATATGGAAAAAACAACAACATCCCAAATTGGCATCTTATCTGGTAAACCGAGATGCCACTATGGTACCTAAATTGTAGTTAGCCACTGGATCAATCCAAATTAACATGAACGCTGAAAATAATCAATTTCTAGTGGCAGGGTCGGCGTGACTTTGGGGGTACCCCACCCGCCACTTCCACCTTCCAGCCAGTCGTGGGTGGCAACTGGGAAGCCTTGTTGGCCGAATACGCCCAGACTTGATCCCCACCCACCTGGCACCGGGCTGCATCATGTGGGGCTGAAACATGGATAGTCGTGCTGTGTGGATGCATCAGACACCAAATGGGTAATAAACCGTATATTACTAGGGTATATCTCGCATGTACGGGTAAGTATGTTGCACACCTAAATCTGGACGTGCATTGAAGAATGAACCATGAACCCACATATGGTTGGTCATAATTGTCCGAAATAAAAAACATTTTTGATCAGTCTTGTGAAGGTCATGTTCTCTGGAACATTTACAATCACACCCTTACTGATGCTGACGTGGATGCTGATGCCAATGATTCATGATTATGATATGCATTACTACTGTTATTGATATTGTTGTTGTTATGTTTCAAAAAATATACATTGCTGGTACTAGAATCAGTCCTACCCACTACTACTAAAACCATGCACGTCCCTATATACATATTTGTTCGTCAACTTGAACTGGCATGGACTGTATGATGTGCACTTGGGGTTGGGGTGGGGTGGGGTGGGGCAACACCGTTCATGTCAACTTGAACAGGCATGGACTGTATGATGTGCACTTGGGGTTGGGGTGGGGTGGGGTGGGGCAACACCGTTCATGTCAACTTGAACAGGCATGGACTGTCTGATGTGGCATGACGTGTGTTTTTGTTCAAGTTGACCTGAACGTCATGCTACCCTCTCCGATCTTCTCTTGCACTTGCACACACACACGTCATGCTACGCTCTGCGATCTTCCCTTGCACTTGCACATGCACGAAATGCTACGCTCTGCTATCTTCTCTTGTGCTTGCACACACACACACACGTCATGCTACGCTCTGGGATCTTCTCTTCCACTTGCACACGAGCGTCATGCTACGCTCTGCTATCTTCTCTTGCACTTGGACGCACATGTCATGCTACGCTCTGGGAACTTCTCTTGCACTTGCGCACACACATGACAGACCGTTTGTCGTCTATGAGTCACTTCTTATTTCCCATCAAGGGATCTGGATATTCCAGTTTCAGGCCCTTTTCGGCAAAAAAATGAAACTGCTATGATGAATTCTGTTCGAACGAGCTGCCAAAAACGGATTCTGTTGCGTACATATTGAAGAAAAACAGCCACTCACCGAAACGGCATGGACTGACAAAAAACTGCAGGTACGTGGAGTTGATCAGACTCCATATCCTATTCTACTGCATGGAGCTTCGTTGGCGACAGCCATGCAGCGACTCTCTCGCCCCCTGCTGCTAGTGATGGATTAAAACTTTAACGCCGGAATAATTCTAATTATAGCCCTGTGGTACAGGGGTTGCCCCCACACACACACGTCATGCTACGCTCTGCTATCTGATATCTTCTCTTGTACTTACACACACACACGTCATGCTACGATCTGGGATCTTCTCTTGCACTTGCACACGCACGTCAGGCTACGCCCTGCTATCTTCTCTTGTTACTTGCACACATACGTCATGCTACGCTTCACTATCTTCTCTTGTTACTTGCGCACACATCGATGTCCCGGATGTCCACATCCCAAACATTTGCGAAAAATGGCATACTGGAAACAACGAATGGAACGAAAAATTGACTTCTCAACATACTGTACCCATTCTAAGATTCCATGCATATGTTTCATTCCCATTTTCCAAATGATATACCACATCTGATGAAATCATAAGCTCATGATTCCAAAAGTTAGTTTCGGAAAGTCTGGTTTATGCCACTGAAAAGACCAAAACCAATGTTTCCCTTCAAACACCTGTTAAGTTGCATGCATAACAAAGAACAAAAAACTGCCTGTACTTGACTGTTCCAAGCATAATTCACAACCAACGATCCAACACATTAAAAAATAACCATTGCTGGCCTGAGCACAAATCACGCGCGGGTTTCTGTGGGCGATAAGCGCTTTCAGCTGATCATATCAGTCGTGAAAAATATTTGGTACATTGCGCAGTCAACAGCGTGTTCCTGGTTCGTTCTCTATTCTGGTACCTTTTTTGCGGCCTGACCTCGGCCTCCAACTCAGCATTTGTTGATATGAGCTAAATGCTAAGCATGACGTGTTTACCCGGTCCTTGGGGTCAACTTGGGGTGTTCCTAATCCGTTTTACAACCTCATTGATGTGTGATCAAAAACAATGGAGTACCAAGAAGACTCCACTTCACTTCACGGTCTAAAAATTGTCACTCATATCTTCCTTTCTACTTGACTTCGAAAAAACATGTCCTACACCTCACTTCGGTTAGGGACCCATGCCATGCCCCGGTGGCACCGGTCAAAGTGCCACCGCGCCTTTGGGCCAAACCACCAGCCATGGAAGTTAGGTCCATCGCGTTCGTCCCAATAATAGATGAGCACCTGAATACGATAGATGCGCCATCCCAAAAAAAACAACCAGAACACTGAAACCAATCCTAAGATATGTAATGGGAATATTGATGAAATATTGGTAATTGTAGATTCGTTATGTTTGTTTGTCTGTTGAGGGGTTTTACGAGAAAATGCTAGAAGATACATCTCTGTAACCCCAATGAATCAGACAATTCTATGGTGGGATAACTAAAGCAACCACTTGTTCTACCTGGGTCCGTGTTCAGCCCCAACCCAAGGTTTGAATCTCATGTTCCTACTCCTTTTTGCTAATTCAACATTTTCAAAAATATGTAAGATATTCTCAGCTCCATAGTTACTTCTGTTTGTTGGGGCGTCCAGGTGTTTCTAGGCGGACCAGGGGAATATTTTTTGATCGTACTTTTTCCATTGCAAAACACATTCTGTATAAAAGCTCTCCCCAATTGGCCCCAATGCTGTTCATATGGCCTCTGAGATATCTAGAAATCGCACGCCAATGGTCCGAATCCAGAAAGGATACTCGTGAAACCATCTGGACACCATTCCTACGGCCCACTAAACGGACATGGGGATTTGCAAGAACTGCATCGGGAGCCAACCAAAACAACGAAAAAGGCAACACGTTCACATGGGCTCATGTTGACAGCACCGTGCCTTCAAACACACTGAAGCTGTAACAAGGTGGCTTTCACTCAAATGACCATTTGTTCTGCCGGCGTCCAAATTTCATCAATCCGTAGATGAAATTCCACTGAATCGTGTCGCTGTGTGCCCTCGCCTGTTTGCGTTTTGCCTTCATCACCTTGAGCAAGCGGCGGCCGTTCTTTCAAAAAGGCCGTTCTTTTTGTCCGTATGAGCATTGACTGTCAGGGACTGGTTTGTTCAAAATTCAGGTGTGTCTGGCATATAGATGATATTGTCTGGCGAGTTTAGCCCCTCATTCCCATCTGACCAAATGATTCCCCAAATATTTTTTTAGGTCCAGCTACCTTCAGGCCATGTGGAATCTTGCTGTCCCTTTCAAAACACAAAACCAGTCACACAAACCCTATGAAACCGAATGAAATCCGTATATGTGTTGAATATAATGCTGACAAATTTGCTGTAGTCATGTGCCATTGCATGCACATATGTTGGACACTGACTTTCTCTGGGTCCATGTTCAACAGCAGTTTCTACATGTTTCTACTCTACTCATGAATTGCACATTCCAATGGTCTGCCCAAACATCGCTCCTTGAATCACAGCTCCTTGCATCATGGCGGCTATCAGCCCGAAAAACTCCGTCCCCTAAGACTGAATGGTCCAAGCGGGCTGCTAATGACCACCCACAAAGGCAATTCGCATGATTCTAACGGTCAGGTTCAAGCAAACATGGTTAGATGTTTACATCCGTCTAGCTGGAAAGTTTAAAAAATCTGTCATCACTCTCGCATTGATGGAGCCATACAAGATACATGAGGTCCCATTTTCCTAGCGACAGCTTAACTCCTTCCAGGATTTGCCTAATCACTAGTCAAAATACTACGGACATATCTGGCATAGCAACCCTGGATTGATACGGCCTGGTTAATTCAATTTTCGAGGCGGCCCTTGAAAAGTGATTCATGGCTACTGCTCAATGGAATGGCGTCCCTACCGGGTTGGTGCCATGTTTCGTGGCTAAGTACCCCATCTCACCTCCCACATTCAAGTTTATTCACCATAATCACTACTAACAACAGTTACCCTTGCCCAAAACCAAGTAGAGAAATTGGGGCACCAACCGACGTCGGCACAAGGTGGGCCAACCCCACAGCTATGTTTGTTGGCTTCGCTTCACCCCAAAACAACTAGAGCTATTTCATTGCCATAGCCGTTCTTGGAGTTGTGTGTGCGTGCCAAAAATCTTTAATTAGTTGTTCATGATTGGTGGATCTATTTGCTATCCTTCCAGGTGGCGGTCTAAAGGGAATAACTCTTCATCATTTTTTGATGCCGGCTGCATAGCCATCTGATGCCCTAAAAGGGATGACCTTTAGCGAATTTTAACACACATTGTGTGGAACCCAGTGGCACAAGCAGCCGTGAGCAAACCGGGAGACAACCGTAAGACAACGTGAGACCCCACCGAACGCCGTGGTTTTATGTATATATGGCGTCGTCGCCTTGGCGTGAGACAACCGTGGGCCAAAGGTGAGCCGACCGTGAACCAACAGTGACTAACAACTACCCTGCGCGTGCCTGGCGGTATGGACGTGAGAATGGATGGTGAAGCATACACCACTTTCCTTGATGAACATACGACTGGAGGTGGTAAAGCATGGGCTTTAAAGTCATGAGCATGAAAATCGTGGTGATGATGAAGATGATGTTGGTGATGATGACGATGATGAAGAAAAACTTTCTGGTGGCTATGTATGCACGCTGTGGTTTTACCGAGTCTTTCGTGCACGTCGTGGTCTGGCTATGTCTTGACACTTTTTGGGTATAGTCTAGCTAGCCATAAGATTGAAATCTGTGAGTTGAGTTGCTGATGGCTAAAAACGACTTAATTAGCTATAGATATAATCTAAATCCCAAAAAATCACCACTTGGCCAACTCCCCATCTTTTTTGACTTCCCTCAGTTAAACTCCCGAGCCAAGGAGCGGCCACAGTGCCAAATGATCCCTCCTGGCAGCAAGGTTTTCACCAGAGAATTTGTGGCAAACCAAATAGAAGACGACGTTCCCTGGAGATAGCTAGGGTGACTTAAACTGGGTTAACCCTGGTTTTGAAGGGGATAAAACTTAACCAAAGGTTTGGGTGGATGGACATATTCCGGATGGTATTGCGTGTATTTGGGGGCTATGATGCTAATGTTGGCGGTGGTTTGCGAAGGTACCATTCTATTATCTACTGTGGGAATATGGGAAGGTTTTTTTCAAACGCTCATCTATGGTAATAATAGATAGCGCCAAGGGGTCTCCAGCAGCTGGTTCTTTGCCGATGACACCAGGCCCGCCAGCGCGGACTCTTGCTCGCTCATCTTCTCCGCTATCAAAGGAATGTTGGCAGCCAAGAGCCCCGTCCACGGAGGCACTCCCGCTAACGTCTCCCAGAGAAACAACATTTAGCAGTGCAATGCTCCTCCTCGCTGACGACCTTTGCTGCTATAATCCCACATCTCCGTCCCAGGAGCTTTGCCTCACAGCAAGGGGGAAACCACAGCCGTGTCGGGGCAGAAGTTTAGAGGAAAGGAATGGCTAGAAGAAATCCGCAGCCTACAGGAATGCCTGTGTGATACATAAGCACTGACATGTTCAGGTTGTCATTAATGAATGAGCAAGTGGTTGTTGAGATGCCAATGATATGCAAAAAAAATCAAAGCACGAATGGCTGAATGAAGGGACGAATGACTGAATGAACCAATCAACCACGGAAAGAAGCAATGAAACAAATAATGAATGAACCAATGGCAGGGTGATTTAATAAACAAATCTGTGCATTAATGGAACAAAGAGTGAATGAATCAATGAGTGGGTTGACTGAGCGAATCAATGAATGAAATTGATGAGCAAATGAAAAAACGAAGACATGAAAGAAAGAAAGAAAGAAAGAAAGAATGAATGAATAAATGAATGAATGAATGAGCGAATGAATGAATGAGCGAATGAATGAATGAGTGAACGAGTGAATGAATGAACGGATGCAGGTTTGAATGAATGGTTGAATGATTGAATGGATGATTGAATGAATAAATGAATGGATGAATAAATGAAATATTGTATGAGTGAATGAATGATTGAATGAATGGTTGAATGAATGAATGAATGGATGAATGAATGAATGAATGAATGAATGAATGAATGGATGATTGGATGAAAGAATGACTGGAAGAAAGGATGGGATGATGCATGAGACTCATGGATGAATGAGAATACATGACCGATGAATGGGTGGATGGATGAATGCACAAATGAATGAAAGAATGAATGAATGCATGACTGAATGAATGAATGAATGAATGAATGAAGGAACGAACGAACGAACGAACGAGCGAAGGAACGAACGAACGAACAAATGGATGAGTGAATGATTGAATGGTTGAACCAATGAATGACTGGATAAAGGTTGGATGGATAAAGGGATGAACGAGTGAAGGGATGAAAGGTTCAAAGAATGATGAAAGAATAAATTTGAATAAATCAAGGAATGGATGCATGAAACGTTGAACGAATGAATGAATGAACGAATGAATGAGTGAACGAAAAAATGCAATGTTTAATGAATGTATGACTGAGTGAGTGAATACATGAATGAAACAATGAAAAATGAAAGAAAGAATGGATGAATGAATGAATGAAGCAATGAATGAATGAATCAACGAACAAATGAATGAATAAATGGCTAAATGAATGAAGGAGTGAATGATTGAGTGAATGAAAAACTGAATGAATGCATAAATGAATGAATGAATGAATGAATGAATCAATGAATCAATGAATGAATGAATGAATGAATGCATGAATGAATGAATGAATGACTGAATGAATGAATGAATGAAAGATTGTATGAATGAATGAATGACTGAATGAATGAATGATTGATTGAATGGTTGAATGAATGAATGAATGAATGAATGAATGGTTGAATGAATGATTGAATGAATGAATGAATGAATGAATGAGCGAATGAATGAATGAGTGAACGAGTGAATGAATGAACGGATGCAGGTTTGAATTAATGAATGAATGATTGAATGGATGATTGAATGAATGGATGAATAAATGAAATATTGTATGAGTGAATGAATGATTGAATGAATGGTTGAATGAATGAATGAATGAATGAATGAATGCATGAATGAATGAATGAATGACTGAATGAATGAAAGATTGTATGAATGAATGAATGAATGAATGAATGAATGAGCGAATGAATGAATGAATGAATGAATGAACGAGTGAATGAATGAATGGATGATTGGATGAATGAATGAACGAATGAATGGATGAATGAATGAATGAATGAAAGAATGGATGAATGAATGAATGAATAAATGGATGAAAAGAAACATGATAAATCGAATGCATGAATGAGAATCAATGAATGATGGATGGATGGATGGATGGACGGATAAATGAGTGAGTGAGTGTGAATGAATGAACGAAGGAACGAACGAGCGACTGAATCGACCCAATTTCCGCAGCATTAACGATCATTGATCTATGGGCCAGTCTAGGGGCCATGAGGTCGCACCAGAAATTCAAACAGGAAGTTTCATCTTTGATCTTGACTCCATTCTGGGGTGATGTTTAGAGCCGCTAGATTTTATTCAATATCAAATTGGAGTCCAAAATGATGGTTTAACCGCAAAAAAGGTGGAATCAATATCAAACTGGAGTCCAAAATGATGGTGGAACATGGTTTAACATGGTTTAACCATGGTTTAACATGATTTAACATGGCTTGACATGGTTTGACCTGGTTTAACATGGTTTAACCAATAAACATGTGGTGAAATGGGGAATAGCCCTGTCAAAAATCTTGGTGACTTCGCCAGGGACATACCGGGATAGCACCGTAAGCAAGTTGCTTCACCCTCAGTTGTAACTGGAGTTGCGCGCTGGCGGCCACCTGTTCCTTGTCTTATAACCACCATTTAACTTTTTGGTTATAATCCCATCAACTATAGATATATTCACCAATAAACCATAGTTATTGGACTTATAAACCAACATATTTATATATTTATGTATATGATATATCTACCATAAATCCAATACTTCACCAAGTTCTTTCAGCCGAGCTATCGATTCGGGGCACCACTTGGTAGAAGCTGACACTTGAACTGGTATCCAATTTCGCTATTTCGCAACGCAGCTGTTTAGGTCCTAGGTCAACAATCATCTCATCATCTCCCATCATCTCCCTATTTCCATCAACCTTTATTGGACTTTGTACTAGTCCCTACCCAACTACCCAAGCTTTACCAATCTTTCCCAGCTTTCCTATCGAGTCACAGTCACCTGCTTTCACAACTTGGATTTGCTGAAAAGAAACCCCTCCGAAAAATGATGGAGTTCGTCAGTTGGGATGATGACATTCCCAAGTGAATGGAAAGTCATAAAAGCCATGTTCCAAAGCACCAACCAGTTTAGGATTGGGTGTTTTGATTCAGCGCCTTTTTGAAGGTTACTATGACCTGAAATCCACTCGTCAATATCATCCCCTATGGATCCAAACACTGTCTGAGAAGGTACGGCTAACCCTCCAAACGATAGTAAATTATTCCCCAGTCCCACTTCCTAAGAAGGTACAACTGGATCCATAGGGACCATTGATCTTCCCCTGTGGAAATGCCATGTAAGGGGAGTATACCAGTTCCCTTCATCGATTCCGCAATTTCCCGGGTAGTGTTTTTTACCCACAGGGTGAACTTCCCACTAGCATAGGCTTGAAAATCCATGGGAATTTCCCATGAACCACGGGATTTTCCATATATAAGGTGGTGCCCCCCCAGTTATAAATGGGTTATAATCCCATAAAAACTAGTTCGATATATCACCTATAAACTATAAACCATATAGTTATTGGACTTATAAACCACCAACTGAGCATTCACGAACGGGAGCACCACCGTAAGTATCATGGCTTCACCGACGCAGCAAAGCCAAGCGTTTCGACCCACGGCATGGGCTCCTTCTGATAGATGGGTTTGTTGTGGTTGGAGCCACTCGCCGTGTACGACCTGCACGGTATAACTAGGTTGTAATGATGGGTCATTCTGTGGCTGGTTGGTGGTTGAGCCCTACCCCTCCGAAAAATATGAGTCAAATGGGATTATTGTTCCCAATATATGGACAAATAAAAGCCATGTTCCAAACCACCAACCAGGTCATTATGTGGTTATATGTGGTTATTATGCAGTGAGATCAACTTAGGAACTGGGATGCATGTATAAGTATGAATAATGATAAATAATGCACAACTCTGAGTGAAATTGGCAGAAACCTGCGCTGTAAATGGCGGGATTTCAACAGCAAAATGCAATACCCAAAAACGCCCTCTATATAGAAAGCAGGATATCCAAGATCATGACTTTCCCGCAACACTTCTGGAACGAAAACAGAAGCATGGTCCAAAATGATGGCAGCGCACTGCCATCTTGTAACGGAAACGGGCAGGGGATACGTCGATTGCATTATCGTCCCTTGTTGGCAAAAGCAAATATCTGATCTCTCTCATTGTTTTGTGTTTTCGCCCAAAGATTCTGCGCTAAAAAAAATCTATTGCCCAGAAATAACCTTTCATGAGGTAAGAATAATGCCGAACATATTTTCTGGTGTTTTCTGTGTTTCCCTTGGAGATTTGATTTCCAAAATGCCCAAAGCTGTTAATGGTTCCACGTCTCTTTGATTGAACAATGGAAGTACGCAAATGTAAAAGGTGTGTCAAAACATTGACAGCATTTGCAAAAAGAAGAAGTCAAGTTATACCCACCATCAATGGTGATGGATCTCAATCTACTACTCCCAAACAAAAAAGACACGGCCAATCTTAGATACACCAAAAAAAGAGACATATTGTTTCTTGGCCAATGAGTTCACTTTGAGAGATGCAGCAACCAACAGAAATGTCACCCCAAACTTAGCATTTATCCAGATTTTTACAGGTCAGATCCACTTCAGCAACGACGCCCATCAGCGCACCCCTTGATGATGTTGGCGATGGTGACATTTTGACAACCACCTGACGAAACCGCCATCGCCCAAGCCGCTGGCAAGACTGATTCTGGTAGGTCAACGAAAACCAAAAGAATGTGATTTTCCAATGTGGAGGACTGCAAGTGCAATCAAGGCAGTGGAAAACATATATATATATACACACACCGCTTTAATATCTTTAATTTAGATGATTGCACACAATATCTGGTCTATTTGAAGTTATTTGACTTTAAACATCATAAATTATCCTAGGTGAAGCCCGAAATACAAACAAACCCCATAAACCCTAGATATTGGATATATAAGCCAACTTTTCTAACTATGGGGCACCAGCTTGTATAAGACCCTGTTCACAACGGGGTCCCTCAACAAAAATACTCCGGATCCAAGCAGGGTTCAAGGCCCTCATCCGTACTGGCTGGTAGTTTGGGATTCCCACTGGGATGAGGATGCAAGCCAGGTGGGTTCATATCCCCTTCAATAAATAATCAACCGGGGGCTTTGCGATCCTAAGTAATGTCAACCCTGGATGAATAAACCATGGTTTATTAATTAGAGGGTAGTGCCCAAATAGTGATTTCATCTGATACTTCAATGGTACCCTCTCAATTAAAAAGCCGTTTGGGGTCTATTAATCCGGGATTGACATTGCTCCTAAATCCAGTGGTTAGTCATCACTATCCCTATTGCCATTTGGGTGAAAAAACATCATTTTCAGACAAACGAATGGTGTATTATTGGGGGTTCTTATAGCCCATAACATGGAGAATCAATACTATCAATATTCTGACATTAGTGCTGATCCAAATGTCCAAAACAAGGTCCACTGCCAGATTGAAAAATCAACATTAATCCTCTTCTCGAAAATACACAAGGACGGCTAAAAGGCAAATTGGGACCTATTGTGCAGACACAGGGACCCGTGAAAAGCTAGAGATAAACCTAGCTAGTTATAAGATATACTTTGGCATAACTAATCTAATTTGTTTCCGACCTACATCCAGGCATAATCATGTTTGAGGCAGTTGTTGATTTCTCTGGTGACCTTGACTAAAGGGTTTGAAACAGGTGTGGACCATGTAACAATGTACAGTATACAATGAACACTAGGAGTGATGTATATGTGATACCCTCTGGTAAACTAACGTAACTATGGAAATCACCATTTTTAATGGGAAAACTCACTATTTCTATGGCCATTTTCAATAGCTATGGTAGTTTACCAGAGGGTACATGCATGCATGTATACCATAAATACATGGACAACTCTGGGGGATGAACATGACATTCATGTCGCAGGGTTTCTTTTTTTCCAGCCATAAAAAGTGGTATCCTCCGGAAATTTCTTGCAGACGACTGGAAAATCGCCATGTGTAAAGCCTTTAAGCATCGAACTATATAAAATGGGCCATGGTTTCCACAGCCATGTTAATTTATGTTTTAAAATAATACCCCTTCCTGTCATATGTGCAACGTCTTTCCTGTTGCATCTCGGAAAGAAGCTGACTGGATGGCTGTACGTCATTCATGGTGTTGCCCAGAGAGATGGATTATTCGGATATTTTTTAGGCATCCATTGGTTGTACCAGGTCATCTCAAAAAAAAAGTTTCTGGACCCAAACTATGAATAGTGTCCACCATCTCCCTCTGGTTGTGGGTCGGGTTTCCCCGGCTGCAAAAACATCCCAAAAATCAACATGGAGGTTTCCCAAAATGGAAAACCAGCCATCAGAAAAACCATCCATAAAACCCGGCTGCTCACATCCAAAAAGGAAAATCCACAATTAATAAATGGTTAAATGGTGGTACTTTATGGATTTTCCATTAACCATGCCATTTGGGGTCGCTGAATTTCAGCAAACTTCAATGGTGTCCCGAAACAGGGGGCCTCCATGAACCCAAGTGGTGGCTTTCGTATGTTCACGTCACCCAACTGGGGGGATTTGTATCCAGAGACATCATTTGTTGGGACCTACCTCCACTTGTGGATGTTGAATGTCCAGCCAAGTTTACTATGTTTACATATTATATATATATAATATATATATATATGTGTGTATTTTTTTCAAAAATATGAATCCATTTTTTGAACCAAATGGCACGCCTAAAATCCAATGGTTCAAAACCTATTCTCATGGGTGAATAAATGCACCAAACAACTAAATATCCAAGTGTTTCTTGATTTCATGTTAAAGAAAGGCATTGGTAAAATCAACATCCCATGAACTGTTGGTATCCTAAAATAGGGGATCCCGAAATCATTCAAAATCATACGATAGAACAGTATTGAAACCTATGGTTATATGGGTATCTCGAATGGGGAATATACACTTCATCTTTGCATTACAATCCGCAGGATCTGAATGTTCGATGCCTTTGCCCAGCGGTGCCCAAGTTAGTTTGTCACGAAAATAACTTATGGTTAACTAGGGTGTATGATAGACGGCAGATATATCCATAGTTACGATGGTTTGTAAACCTGCTTATAACTGGGGGGCACGACCTTGTATGGGGTATAACGGGATATTTATAGTGGTTGATAGCGGAAAAAACATGTCAAACCATAAAAACTGACAGTCTATGCACAATCTACCGGAGCTGGGTAAATGACCCTCTGGTAATTTAACATAGCTATTGAACATGACCATAGAAATAGTGGATTTTCCAATTGAACATGGTGATTTCTCATAGTTATGTGAACGTTTACCACAGGGTGTAATCATTCACTTGACTGAAATAAGGCGATGTTGGGATAGTCCTCCCTCCTTACCAAAACTTCCAGTATTCGGTCACTCCGTGAGGTCCTTACAAGGCGCTGCCCCAGTTAGCGAAGTTGGTTTATAAGTCCAATAACTATGGTTACCCTCTGGTAAATTAACATAGACCCTGGCAGATAGGGGTTGGAAGACTAGTTTCCATTAAAAATTGGTGATTTTCAGGGTCTATGTTTATTTACCAGAGGGTAATGGTAAATATATCTCTGGTTGGTGGTTGACCTACCCCTCTGAAAAATATTATAGTCAATGGGAAGGATGACATCCCATATATTATGGAAAATAAAAGTCATGTTCCAAACCACCAACCAGACAATCATTCTTCAACCACTTATAAACAAATGTTTGAAACCACCAGATCTATACTTACTATGGTTAAACAAACTTATGAGTGGGGGGACCACCTTGCAATGATGAATGGAGGTTTCCTGAAATAGGGGTACCCCCCAATCATCCATCTTCAATGGATTTCCTATGAAATAAACCATCCATTTTATCATTTTGTGGTACCTCCATGGCTATGGAAAGCTCCATATCTAGTAAATCCACTATAAATCACAATTTTCAATAGCTATGTTAGTCATTACCAGAGGGTAAATCCCATTAAAACCACCATTTTGTTGGTTAAACCACATTAAACCACCATTAAAACCACCATTTTGCCAGGCGACTGACCGTGATGGGCGGCGGTGTAGCATTGCTGGCGCCGCTGCCCGGCACAGCCCCCACTGCGGCCGGCTGCGCGGTGCCAGGGGCACGGCCAGCGGGCTGCGGCCTGGAGGGGTGCAACCGAGGGAGACGAAGATGGCAATTGATACAGGATGGGGCCCCCTCAGTTATAAGTTGGCTTATAAACCATTATAACCCCCAGTAACTATAGTTATATCTACCATAAACCATAGATTTCAGCCACTTACAAGGCAACTGAGCTATCTTGCGGGCCCCATCCTGTACCCCAACTATTCAATTGCCATTTCAAGGACCTAAATTGGAGGTATCTACCATATATAAGGTCCATGTAAGGGAATATCCCAGCAACATATTGCCTTATATGGTACAGTACGTCCATTTTAGGCTCCTGAATTTCCCATTGAACTATACATATCATGAAGAGTCAACAGTATATTGAATAGTAGATACCTGTAATATTATATAAATTTATTTACTGATGAAGCTATATTTGTAAAAAAAAAATCCGCCGACCCGTTATAACCCGTTCTATTATAACGGTTGCCCTGGTGGTATTTAGTGGTGGCCCTCCAGTAATAATATAAAATTGGTTGCGGCTGAGCGGATGCGGCTGAGTTACGGTTCTGTTAAGATTTCCTTCTCTTCCTCCTCACCCTCTTCTGCAAAGGAGCTTTCAGACTCTGCAGTGGCTTTCTCTTTTTCAAGCCTCTGTGCCTTTGACAATTTCTCCATCATCTGTCTCTGCAATGCGAACCTCTCCTCTGCCTTCTACGCAAGGAGATTTTCACGAGCAGCCATGGTCTCCTCAGCTATCCTCTTCTGCTATTGCCAAGGCCTCCATGGTCCATGCACTCATTATATGACAGCGACCGGTTTACAACAGGGCAACCGTTTTACGACACGGTATCACGTAAGGCGGATGGAATAAGCACCCCCCCAACGCATTATATCCTCACTTAATTCCGCATCAACTGCATATGCCATTAAATTCCAATTGTAAACCACCGATTTGAATGGTTACAACACCATTTTCCATTGTTTCCCCAGTTCAACCATCATTAAAAGTGGTTTGATACCCATTCAAATAGCCATTCAAATAGCATTTTGCATGGTTATCACCAGCATTTTCCCAGCATGTTCCATTCATTCCCCAGTTTCCAATGGATTTTCCATTCAAAGTAGATTAAAAGTAGGATTTTCCATCATGTTCAATGGATTTCCCATGGATTTCGTCCATTTCCAATGGATTTCCAATGGATGTCCATTCAACTTCACCCAGGCCGCGCTGCCTGGGAAGCACGGCCCTAGGCTGCACCACCTCGGGGCGAGTTGCAACGAAAACCAGGAGGCATGGACAAGCCAGTCATGAGGATATAGATGGGATATATGTGTACAGTGTAAAGTATATGTATACATATGTTAATAATAATAATAATTAATAATACTAATATATAATAATAATAATGATAATAATGATAATAATAATATAAAACTAAATTAATCTAAATTATATATACAGTATATATATAAGTTGTTATATACAAGTTATTATTATTACTAAATATATATATATATATAAGTTATATTTATAAATTATGATCAACTTCATATGATATGTGTGTGAGTCTGAAAATGGGGGGATTCCCAAATTATAGCTAGTTTTTCATCGGAAAAATGATGGATTTGAAGCATCAATTTCGCCTGAAACTACCCCATCTGAGGTGATCCCAAGGTTATGATTTGCCCATATTTTCCCCAAAAAGATCAGAAACACGGAGTTACTTCCCCTTTTATGGACACTTGGACGCTTGGAGCGACCCTGAAACAGTTTACTCCAATTCACACATCGCGATTGCTTGGAACTCCTCGAACTAGCGGGCATCGATATATCATCGAAGAAGGTGGGAAATTGTCATTGTTTCTTTTCGCAAGAGGTATTGAAAAAAACAACTCATTTAGGATATTGTTAGGTCTTTGAAGAGAATCGAAATCCTAATGCCATGCTTGAGATATGCATCAGCTGGCTCAAACTCCCGGAAGATGGATGATATAGAAACCCAAGATGCCAAACAGTATTGGAAAACGTACTTTTTATATATATATATATATAAATACCCTCTGGTTATGTCAAAATAGCTATTGAACATGGTGATTTATAGTGGATTTTCCCATTAAACATGGTGATTTTCAATAGTTATGTTAGTTTACCAGAGGGTATATATATATATATATATCAATCTTTATCTGGTTGGTGGTGCAATAACCATCTTGAAAAATATGAAAGTCAATAGTCAATGGGAAGGATGACATCCCATATATTATATATGGAAAATAAAAGTCATGTTCCAAACCACCAACCAGCTGTCAATCTTTATCACTATCTTGTGATTGGAGGTTATACACTTCGGCATCTTTTTGGGGTTAGTATATGTTAGATTATGTTAGTATATCATCCATGTACGACATGATGGCTATAGCTATGGTAGCTAAGCTATGGTATGATGAAGTGGGAATCTACTATAACATGAACACGTGGTAGCCTCTGGTAAACTAACAGTTTGCTGTGGAAAATGTCCTATTTATAGATGATTTACCTATGAAACCTGGTGATATCCCATAGGCATGGCATCAAGAACTGCTCTGGTCCGAAAATATGTACCCTCTGGTAATGACGAACATGTTGCTATTGAAAATGGCCACTTATAGTGAGTTTCCCCATGAAACATGGTGATTTTCCATAGTTATGTTGGTTTACCTGGTAACGACTAACATAGCTATTGAGATTTCCCATGAAAAATAGTTATTTTCCATAGTCATGCTGGTTTACCTGGTAATGACTAACAGTTTGCTATTGAAAATGGCCACTTATAGTGAGTTTCCCCATGAAACATGGTGATTTTCCATAGTTATGTTGGTTTACCTGGTAATGACTAACATAGCTATTGAGATTTCCCATGAAAAATAGTTATTTTCCATAGTTATGTTGGTTTACCTGGGAATGACTAACATAGCTATTGAGATTTCCCATGAAAAATAGTGATTTTCCATAGTCATGTTGGTTTACCTGGTAATGACTAACATGTTGCTATTGAAAATGGCCACTTATAGTGAAATTTCCCATGAAACATGGTGATTTTCCATAGTTATGTTGGTTTACCTGGTAATGACTAACATAGCTATTGAGATTTCCCATGAAAAATAGTGATTTTCCATAGTCATGCTGGTTTACCTGGTAATGACTAACAGTTTGCTATTGAAAATGGCCACTTATAGTGAGTTTCCCCATGAAACATGGTGATTTTCCATAGTTATGTTGGTTTACCTGGTAACGACTAACATAGCTATTGAGATTTCCCATGAGACTAATTTTCCATAGTTATGTTGGTTTACCTGGTAATGACTAACAGTTTGCTATTTCCAGTGAGTTTCCCCATTATGTGGTGGTTTCCACCTGGTTTAACGACTAACATAGCTATTGAGATTTCCCATGAGAACTAGTGATTTTCCATAGTTATGTTGGTTTACCTGGTAATGACTAACAGTTTGCTATTGAACATCGCCATAGAAATAGTGAGTTTCCCCATTAATAGCATGGTGGATCTTTCCAGTTCTGTTTCTGTAAACGTTTACCATGTTTACCAGGCCGGGTAGATGGTTTTCCCAAACATTTTCCAGCCATGGTTAGGACCAGGTACCCTCCGGCAAACTAACATAGCTATAGAAAATCACCATTTTCAATGGGAAAATCCACTATAAATCACCATTTTCAATAGCTATTTTGACATAACCAGAGGGTAGGACCAGGTAACCATCCCACATGACACAAAACCCAGAACCCCACAGCTCGACTCCCCGCTCCCTTCGCCCAGGTACTGCCCCTCCACCTTTGGACTTGCCCTTCCCTTTGCCCCAGGCAGCCATCGTGCGGAAGCGGAGGTCTTTCGGAGATGTTAAGCTGAAAAAAATGTTGTTGTTGAGATTTTGTGAAGATCTGGGTGAGTATCTGATTCTCTGGTGATTGGGAGATTTTCTTCACATTTGGTTGGTGATTCTCAGATTTTCTTGGCTGAGCTGATTGGTGCTTCCGAAGTCAGAGTCGTTCACATCGCGACCGAATTCTCCCGAAATTTGCTCAACTTCAGCTGTGGGCCACAGGTCGTTTCCCGGTGGTGTTTCCCTGCTGTTGTATGTCTCCATATGCTATGAGCCTCAAACAGCAGCATTTTGTGAGCCAGGGAAGGAACGGGGGTCTAGAATCTATGTTTGGATATGTTTTGTATATCAGGTATCCAAGAAAAAGGGGCTTAAATCGAGTTGGATCACTTGGATTGTCCCCTTACAAACCATGAATGCGGTAGACTTTCATGCCTTTTGAACCGCCTGCATTTGGGGATGGTTTATATACAAGCCATTTATGCATATGTATGGTATTTTTTTGTGGTTTATGGCATCGGGTGAATCCCACACTACCAACAATTCAGTAGTCCAAGTGTTGCATCTTTGGGATCCCATGAAAAATGCCACCGGGCTGACATTGGCGCAAGCGAGTCCAACGAATGCTTTGAGCTGCGAATGTGTAGTCACCATTTTTGCATCTCCAGATATCAGAGTACTAAACATTACTATAAGCTATCTAAGTAAGGTTTACCCAAAGGATCCATGGATCGTTGACACCTCCGAAAAAAAGGAACGGAGTACGCTCGATCATGACTGCTTCGGAAGTTGCAATAGCCATATATTGGTTGCTGGTGGAGCCGCCCATCCCTCCGGATGGAACATCAAGAACTGGTTGGTGGTTGACCTACCCTCTGGTAATTTAACATAGCTATTGAAAATTACCATTTATAGTGGATTTTCCCATTAAAAATTGTGATTTTCCATAGTTATGTTAGTTTACCACAGTGTACCCCTCTGAAAAATATGAGTTCGTCAATGGGAAGGATGACATCCCATATATTATGGAAAATATAAAAGTCATGTTCCAAACCACCAACCAGACAATCATTCTTCAACCACTTATACCACTTGCAGGATCATCCCACGAATCGTTAGCCTGGTTAGCAACTGGGGTTGTAACCCACTTACCCATAGGATCCATGGTGCTTGTACGTATGCTAACAATTGGGGTATATTGATGGTAAATGTTTCCATATATAGCAGCACCATGGATCCTATGGATTATCTTAACCACAGTGAGGTTACCAACGAACCACTAACCACGCCTAGAACAACACCAGATCCCCCAGGAACCACCCCACAAGGCCCACAACCAGCGGCCTCCAACGCTGATATCCCGCAATTCATCCTGCTGGAAAAATTGGGAACTATAGTCAATTTGGCCTAACCAATCTATAACTGGCCCCAGCTTCTGTGCATCGAACCCCGCGTGCCAAGCCACTCTTTTAATGTTTTCGATATGACCCGAAGGGAATCCATAGCCTCCCCCTGATCAGCTTGTAATTTCTCACCGTGTCAGGAACCCATCCAGCCACCGGTAATCCAAAGCAACCTCTCCAGGCGTGGAATTTTGGGTTGCGACAATTTGGAACTGGTGATCAACCATGTGGATGCTGGAGCTTTTCTTTACGAGATGTGAACCTTACCAAAGGGCAGCTAAAAACCAGGGAGATTATGAAGCATCAAATTTCCAGAGTCTTCCCTCGTTTTTTCCAGATCAATCCATGTTTCCCTATGTTATTCAGAGTTTTCCCCCATGTCTTTTTAACATTTGAGAATTTGTTCGCCATGTTTTTCAAACAAATTCATTTGGAAGTAGGGAGCCCTGCCACCACTCAGACCCCCGTCCTGGCAAGGCAAAGCCCTTAGATGCAGATGAGGAAAGACAAGGGGGTGATTGTCATTTACATTAATGTATTCATATACACACCATAATTCTAGGCTATTCTAGAACAAGTATATATATATATATATATCGATATATATATATATATGTTCCTACGTTTATGAGGTATCTATGTTTTTTTGAATGTATGAACAAATAATATATATATATATCTACAGTATACATGTAAATAATGTGAATAGAAAACACATATATATATATATATTTATATATATCGATGGTCAAATATGATCATATTGTTTCTTTTGTTGTATATATATATATTATATACACCCATTCTGGGGTTGAAAGCAAACATGAAATCAAAACATATGCGGGTGGAAACCCCATCTAAACATACAGTTCATGTTCTCAAGACTAACCCTCTGGTAATTTAACATAGCTATTGAAAATGGTCCATTTGTAGTTGATTTACCCAGCTGGAAATGGTGATTTTCCATAGTTCTGTTAGTTTACCAGAGGGTACGATGTATGACATAGGAACGATGATACTGTAATTCTGATTACAATGCATTGGTTTGTCTACCAATCATTCAAGAAAAACAACATCATATCAAAAGAAGTCAACATAAGTCAACATATCAAAGTACCCAGCCAAGGTTTACCTGGAAACAGTGGACTGGAGGCCTGCAACAAAAATGCTGCTTTATAAATCCATTAACTATAGTCATATATAACTTATATCCCCCGCAAAAAACAAAACAAAACATAAAACCGATTTAACCAAATTATGTGCGTCAACTTGGCGATTCTTTCGGGACGACTGGCTTCTGCTCGCTCGGATCCAGAGCCCCACTGAAAAAACGAGCAGCGTGCAGGAGGCACCATCTACCACCAAAGCACCCAAGAAGCAGGTGACTTTGATTTCCTGATTTTCCGAGAAAACGAGAGATGGAACCATCAAAGATTGGGACTGGGATATCTTGTGATATTACAATAAATACTATATGCAGTTATATGGTAATATATGTAAAAGTAACTTTCAAACACGTTCAAATATGGGGAATACGCTTACCTCGCCAGGAAATCATCAGCAAAGAATGGGACTGTCCATCTCCATGTCATGACTTGGCTTGGAAAAAAATTGCGAACGAATGAACCACTGGCAAGGTGGTGCCCGTGGTGCTCAATCCTTATAGGTACCCTCTGGTAATTCAACATAGCTATTGAAAATGACCATTTATAGTGGATTTACCCATTGAAAATGGTGATTTTCAATAGCTATGTTAAATTACCAGAGGGTAACTTGAATTTACAACTATTATAACTATAAAACTACGGCCGTTATGGTAATGATAACTATACTTCCTATACGAGCTCAACAAAATCTGATCAACAAATCATAACCATACAACAGGCTGTGATTCGAAACCAACTTACAACAGGGGCCTCGGGGCACCGGTCCGTGGAGTCCCCGGCCGGTCTGGATCCGACGTGAAGGGCCGAGACACCCCAGCATAGCCACTGCTCACATTGGCACAGTACTCCGCCATGAAAACTTCATTGTGTTGCAGGTCCTGTGACTGATCTGCTGCGCATGTCGTTGAAAATTCACAGGGACACTGTGAGCCCAGGGAGCCCCCCAAACGTTAATAAACAAAACACGGAGGTTAACCGAACCAAGAAAAATAGGGTATAATGGAATTAGGAGATTATGATTGTTTGTCTTAGAAATCCCATGAACTGGATACAGTATATCTTCCACACATCCCGGATATAGTTTTAACTTATAGACAGTTTTTGACAAACTTAGGCATATGGGGGGTGCCCTGCAGGAGGAATCTTTGCAAATCCCAGCCCCCTTATATATTGAATACCCTCAATGTATCTCAATATGGGACCCCAAATGGATAGGATCCAATGCCAAAATGAATTCTTTGATCTTCGTGGGAAGGGATAAGTTCATGTACATTCATGTACCACTTCTCAGAGATTTGCATACTCTGGGGTGATCTGTTTCAAGAAAGTCACCCAGACTTGTAAACGTTCCATTTCTGTGCATGTTCTACACGAGCAAACACCTCACAGAAAACATATGTTAAAGAAACAAAATGAGAAAAATGAACACAAACAGAACACACACACATAGTAACAATATGGAACAATGAACGAAACTGGGATTCGCACATTCATAAACAAGAAACATGCTTTGAACATGTGTCATTTTCATCCAAAACTTACGCATGCCAAGAAACAGTCCGCAAACCTTCCGTGCTCGATCGCCAGGATGTTAAGTAGGGGGAACTTTAAAGAAAGCCTCATAGTTGGGAAAGCCTCATAGTTGGAGAAGAAACCAGTAGTTACTGCTATCAAAAAAAAACACATAAAGCAGAGTTCCTACACTTTGTTGTTGCTTCCCTAAAATCAATTCATTGATCAAATCTAAATGATGTCATCTACATATAAATTTCTTCTAGGCATGATCTACCAAGGTACCAACAACAAACGCGGTACCTGGGCCAAAAAAACAGGTTGAATTCAACTCAACTGGCTGTGCATTTTCAAACAAACCCATGCAATTTGCCACCCACTCATGTTCGTTGGTTTATTTTCCCCCATCGTTAAGGTTTCACCTCATATGGATAGCGCCCGACTTCTCCCCTGCAAACGGATCATACCCTGCAAACATGGCTGGTGCAGTTCCCGAACTAAATGGGTATCTTATATCGTGGGAAAACATACCCATAGGATCCATGTATGCTATGTATGGTAACATAGATCCCATCACTATACCCCCTTTATGTTAGCATATATACCAGCACCATGGATCTGTCATGGGATACATCAAAAAGAAACTTTGTTTGTCAGTGAAATCCCGGGAAATCATATTCAAATACACGAAACCAGCACTGGTTGGTGGTTGAGCCCTACCCCTCTGAAAAATATGAGTCAAATGGGATTATGACATTCTCAATATATGGAAAAATAAAAAATGTTCCAAACCACCAACCAGATCATTTTTGGAGGATTTCTAGATACTTTTCCCATCAACACCTCCATTTCCTTCGGAGATTACGGCTCCGCGCTGAAAACGGCTCCTTAGGTGCAGTGACTTCCAAGGAGGCACCGCCCACAACGGCCTGCCAGATTTTGACTCCACAAAAAAGGTGTTTTTAATAGTGGTTCAAATGGACATATCATTGGGATTTACATTTACCCTCTGCTAATTTAACATACTTATGGAAAATCACCATTTTTAATGGGAAAATCCACTATAAATGGCAATTTTCAACAGCTATGTTAAATTACCACAGGGTATCTATTTTTTTTATTCTTGGGATTTATGGAATCAATCCAAAAGTGGTGAATCAACTGTTCAGAAGGGATCTATATACAGAAATAACTTTTATGAAACCATGGCCATTCTGAATGCTACGTGTTAGTGTAGATAATGTATATAGTATATATATAGCATATATCGATTTGTGTGGCAAAAAAAAAGGTTAGTACCAAGACAATCCATCCAAGCTCGAGCCAAACATTGAACATCATTCAACATCATTGGACATCATTGAACATTAACTATGGTGATATAACTTCTTGTATCGTGATCTTGATACAAAAACTTGATATAAGCCCTATACCTATGGTGATATAGCTTCATATACTGTGATCTTAATATAATAGCTTGATATGATATAAGCACTATAAACATGGTGATATAACTTAATGTATCGTGATCATGATAGAATAACTTGATAAAAGCCCTATAGCTATGGTGAAATCTATCCCCTTAGTTTACTGGAACCCTCGTGCCATCCCAGGAGACCCCCGCATGGAGATGAACAATTATTGCTACAGTACAGTACCTCATCCCAAGTATTCGTGGTAAATATCTCACTGGTGCGTTTTACGTAGGGTTGCTGGATGGGTTGCTGGGGGTTGCTGGGATGATAAAATTATTAGTGATTATGGATATATCCCAGTAAGATATGGGTAAATCCCGATTTTTTGAGCCAGTTTCTATGGCGAAAAGCGAGTCAGTCAATCTCACCGCGTGCGCGGTAACGCAAGCTCGGCCTCCACGGCAGGTGTGCTGGCGGTGCATCCTTGCCTTAGGGATCCGCGGCAATGCTCCATGGTGGGACATATCCCAGAGCACTTGGGAGCAAATCAAAATCTGAGTTTCGATTGAGAAGGGCTGTAGATCATAGTCAATCAACGGACATGGGGTTTATCTCACCAGAAAATGAATATTTAAGTCGCCAACGACATGGTTATGTGTCTCCCCCACATCTCGCGCCTGCCCTTTTTCCAACTCCTGCTTGCCAGCTGTAGTACTGATGATGAATGCCGGCATGAATAACGCAAATGCAAAAGCCACCACCACAATCCACAAGGCTATGTGATCCAAAAAGTTAAACAAGAGGCAACTGTGATGTCCCACATGATGGCCAAAGCAAATGAAGGCGCTACCGCACATGCACTGCCGTCAACGAAATACTTGGTCAGGAGGAGCCAAAGCAAGTTTGTCGTTCCGTAAGGCGGCAAAGCAAAATAAGGCGTCAATACACAAGCAAGGCTATCAAAATCACACTGTGCAAGTTTTATCCTCGCAATCGAATCCAAGCCAAAAGAAAGGAAATGCCCTAAGTGGTGACCGTGGCTGAAGCAGCAACAAGGCGTCAATGAAAGCCGACGACCAATCCGGGTGGCAGCGGGGGGGCCGAAAACTACCCCGATATAGAGTCAACACATGAGAGGCATGTGTCTCCCCCACATCTCGCGCCTGCCCTTTTTCCAACTCCTGCTTGCCAGCTGTAGTACTGATGATGAATGCCGGCATGAATAACGCAAATGCAAAAGCCACCACCACAATCCACAAGGCTATGCGATCCAAAAAGTTAAACAAGAGGCAACTGTGATGTCCCACATGATGGCCAAAGCAAATGAAGGCGCTAACGCACATGCACTGCCGTCAACGAAATACTTGGTCAGGAGGAGCCAAAGCAAGTTTGTCGTTCCGTAAGGCGGCAAAGCAAAATAAGGCGTCAATACACAAGCAAGGCTATCAAAATCACACTGTGCAAGTTTATCCTCGCAATCGAATCCAAGCCAAAAGAAAGGAAATGCCCTAAGTGGTGACCGTGGCTGAAGCAGCAACAAGGCGTCAATGAAAGCCGACGACAAATCCACTCATAGCACGTGGCCAGCGACGGTGAGGTCGCGCGCTCCCGCGGTTGCCCGTCTCAAGAGTTAGCGGTCTGAAGTAAAAAAGGGAGAAGCTCTGAAACACACGAAATAAAATACCTGGCCCTGGCAGACAAATCGAACATGGTGACCTCTGTGGACACTTCCTGGAGGTAGTGCTGCAGGGTTTCGATGTTTTTGAGTCGGAGGGACCAAAGAATATCATGTATACCACACCCATTGCGGTAGAGCTGAACGGTTCCGCCAGCCCGCAGGCCGCCGGGAGTAAGCAACAATGACTTGGGAACTTCCAACGCAGCCATGACAGAATCCCATCTTTTTCGGAAACTACTAGGAGCTCCGGGATATATCCATTCGTCACTAGGCAAAACATATAACACACTCTGAATCCACGCGACAACTCCAGGCTCGCCAATCTTCGCATGCTGGACCATTCCCAAGCCCCTTCGACGGGGTTTCGGCTCAACAATGCGCATGAACAAAGCATGACCGGTCTCAGCTAAGCAAAGGTCTTTGGGGAATACTAGGTGCTTTCTTTGGGCCCTCAACACTTCACCAGTTCGGCAACACCCATAAAAAGCAAGCAAGACTACAACTGCAAATCTGGTCCACCCCCAAGCAACTGCAAGACCTACAATTGCTTCAACCAGTTTCAAAGGAATAGGTCTGCGGTGCTGCACAGGCTGCACGGCTTCCCATTTTGAGACGACTTCCCATGCAGGTCCCAAGTGGCCACGCGTTCCACTGACAGTTCGCTGCACATGAGTCAAAAGGTGTCGCGAACTATGGAGAGCTCCGCCAGATTCATAGAGGTGATATCCGTATTGCGCAATGGCATGACCCAAGAGTTGCGGGCATGCCCAAAAAGAACCTTCAATATCTGCAGGCATTCGAGATAAAAACCAACGTGAAAAAAGTTCCCATTGTTTCAACCCGAAAGCTGTGGTTTCTGGCCGAATGAGCTCCACACTGCTCAAAGGGTTCTGGCACCGAAAATCCACAGCAGTAGGTCTCCGTGGGCCGGGATGGCTTGCTTCGCCAATGCGGTTACCGCAGCACTTCGCAACTTCCCCAATGGTAACATGTCGGTTTCTCAGGAGGCCAGTGTCAGCACAGGCTGACCAAGCGAGCATGGCACATAACCCTGTCGGGTAAGCTTGAGCTACTTTCGTCCAACACTTTCCATGTCTACTAGACCTACCCCGCAGTACAATATGTCTATGGTCACGCGTGCACAATTTCTTGGTGTTCGCCAATCTGCCAGAAGTTAAGAATCTGCTAAGTTTTCTCCAGGGCGTCTTAAATGCGCAAAAATCAACACGATAAAAACGTTGGCAAGCATTGTTAGGCAACGTCAAGATTTCGGGCTGATACCACATGTGAGAGGAATCCGGATTTTCCAACCAATAATGAATGCCCTTGAGTATGCAAATTCTAATGAGCGAACAAATCCAACTAAGGTGGGAATTACCTTCCTGCAGCTTATTAAAAGTGATGGGGCCCATTCCCGGAACACCTTTAGGGTAGATGTGATTCCGAATGGCAGGGGTTATAGCTCTAGAAAATGAAGCGCACACAGGAGCTGCAGACAAGTGGATAAAGACCCCTCCTCTCAACATGCGCTCAAGTTTGGATCTGAGATCGGCCTTGAGCAAATCGCAGTGCGGCCCATCATTCCAATCTAGTGTGAGAACCCAAGGGGCGCCCATGTTTATTGCGGCTCTGGCAAAACCCATATTGCCACTGAAAAGATCTAGGAAGCCTGGCTGCTCTGGTGGCCAGGTGATACCTTTTGCAAAAACAAACAAATCTTCAGAAAAGCTAAGCAGATCACGGTCGCACTCGCAATCCCATGGAAACTCTCTAGATTTAGATGGGTGGACATGCTTATCCTCGATTGGGGCTGTCACCTTACGAAGTCTGAGTTTGGCTCTGACCCGCTCCCTCAACTTTCTAGCTTTGGATTTTGGCACATTCCCAACCACACAAGGATCTTGAAGGTTCAGCTCTTTCAAGCTAGGGACACCATCTAACTGGAAAGGGTGCATGTTACATTCCTCCAAAAAAACATCTAAGGGGCCAAAATTTCCAGCGCATGCATCTTCCCACCAGCCAGGGAGGATTATGTCAGGGCGGCGGATTGCCTGACCTCTGGTTGGGTCATCCGCGCTGTTATAACATGACCGAACATACGCACCACTAGAATAGATACCCAAACCGAGATGGTGACAAAGACTGGACTTGAGCAGGCGGTTTAGACCAGGAGACGCAGACCGACCCTTGACAATCGCGCCCAAACACACCTGTGAATCACCAAGAATAGGGACCCGGATATCCCCCTGGGTCAGCCCGGCATCCCTTTCTGCATCAAGATAAGCTTTCAATTCCCCGAGGTTGATGTGACGGCGACGTCTTGCCCGTGACTTACAAACCAGCTCAAATTGCAGACCCCGGGATGCGGTTTCCCAGAGAGGGTGTTCAGCGTATTCATCAAACTCACCGGGGAGCTCATCACAAGGGTCTAATAATTCATGGGTTTTTTGCCAAGATTTAAAAGGAGAAAGAAGCTTCGTCCAAACTGACTTTTGCAGGCTATGGCGATGCAATTCCTTACCGAGGTGCTTTCCCACATGGGCCTTGACAACCGCCTCCCCCCAGTCTGAAGCATCAACAGCATACAGCGCTTCGCAGAAACTCGCTCTAATGTCTGTCACGGCCAGTGGCAGAAGAGCCGAAGCAATGTACAACTCATCGACTAAACACTGTGGCAGTTTGATGATATCTTTTTGGGACCTACCAGCTTGGACACGATAGACTGAATCCAGGAGACTCATCATCCTGCGGCGATAAGAAAAAATAGAAACAAAACCACCAGCCAAGGCTTCGAGCAAACCGATACTGGCCACACCGAGGGACGCCACGCGATCAGCAATCCAGCATAACGACAAGCTGCGACAAATGTTCGCTCGCACCAATCCAATTTCTCCATCAACCTGTGACCCCCAAAAGTTGGCAATTGTCTTATGGGCAAAACCTTTTTCTGGATGAGGATCAAGGCCTACTTTGGAGTAAATGTCATGCATGGCCGCTCGGCTTGCTGTGCTGCGAGGGCCTTTCGCAACCTCCCAACCTACTTTTTCGAGAAATACCAGATCATCAATGATGACGCCAGCAGCAAAAGGATCCCTGGGAATTCTACCGTGTAGGGTTACCAGGTTACAACGGTCAAAAGCCCCTGACTGAATCCCCATGGCAATATGACTGGTCTGTGCAAAAGAACAGGCTGCAGCATCCCCCATCGCTAGTGTCGCCAGACAAGCATAAACATAATTTTCCCCTTGAAGCTCAGAGGGAAAACTTTTCATGCCGCGCACGGCGCTCACTGGCACCTTCCACTCAAGGAAATTCTTTGTGACCCTTTGCTCAGTCACTGAAAAACAATAGAAAAAGTTGGACAGGTCATCTCCTGACATCAAAAGTTTTTCCCAAGGTTCCAAATGCAAACCCAACAGGGTGCAACTAGACGCCATAGACATAATAAACTTATTGCTTGCATTTTGCAACAAATTAGCAGGCCTAGCATCAAGGATTAGCCTATCAACATGCAAGTTTTTGGGGACACTAAAGAGGCCGTTTCCATACCCTTTGGGGACGTCAGAAATTCTCCTAAATGCCAAACGGTCTGTTTTCTCAAGAAGCTTGAGCAAACGAAGCTTTTCTTCAAAACTGGCATGGACTTGGACCCTAGGTGGAACTGTGCTAGGCTCAGGTTCTATAGCATGCTCCAAGGGATGGATATACAAGTCTTTGGTTTCAGCATCAAGGAAAGGAGAAGGGTCAAAAGTGGGAGAGCCTTCCATCTTTATTCGAGACGCAACTATGGGCTGCGCTCCCGATAAATCGCCTTTTGTCATTTTTCCTACAACGGAGCCAACTTTACCACTGGGCATGCTGTGGCATCGAGGCCGCTGATTCTTTTTGTATTGGCCATGATTCTGCAAACTCTTTTCAGCAAAGCTGCTAAGCTTCGCAAGTGTGTCTTCAAAGCTTTCCTGCTTAGCGGCCGTCCTGCCCATGTCACTGGCAGGAATAGCCGGATGTTCATGCCAGGCCTTTCCCAACTTCCAAAATCTATCCACCACACTTTGCTGTACAGCAGAAAGACATTTACGTCCACAAATCGTAGAGGGGGGTTCGTAAGGCTGATGTAGATAGAGCCAATTCAAAGCCCCAATCTGCAGATTAATCAATTTCATGAAACTAGTATGGGGACAGCTCGTGCGTTTTTTGATATAAACTTCGGGAAACGGAAGTGGCATGGGAAAGACACTGGCAGTCGTAGCCCCGACGTGAGGCTTGCTGGCTTTGGTCGCAAGAGAACGGAAAAAATGCCCAAAGTGGCTTGAGCTAGCAAAAACATGTCGGCGCAGGGACTCCCAAATGGAGTTGGCCCGCAATGTGGAAGCGCCGGAACCAGGAACATTGAAATGGCTCTCAGCACAGCGTCGACTGTACAGACCACCATCTGTCGCACTGGAAACCTCAGGCCCAAAGTGGGCAGCCGGTGGACTGCCGTCCTGTGGCTCAGCACCTTCAAAATTGACAGCAGTCTGCGCACTTGCAACTGAATTAGAGGCCAAGTCAAAGCCATCCAATGGGGATCCACGAGTGGCATCGCTAGAGGAGCTAGTAGAAGAGGCACAATCAGCCTGAAGGCTGCTGGATGGGCAGCCTTCAAGATGTCCCCGACCGCAAGCGTCGGTGGCCAGACAATGACCCCGACCTGACGAGGAAGAACTCGGCAAGGGACACAGTGAAGGCATGCCACCAACAGCGCCGCAGGCAGTTGCCTCAGCCACTTGTCCCTCGGCGGAAGCACTCAAGAGTCCCCTTGTTCGCCATCTCCTTTGCCCTTGCCTTTTTGTTTGAACTTCGCCTTGGCTTTGGCCAAGGGGCTTTCGAGGTTTCCATGTTCTTTTGCATGAACCCCCCGTTGCCCAAGCTTCCGCCTGCGCTCGATGTACTCGTCCGCATCGCGAAGCTTTGCAGTAAAGGCATCTATCCACCTGCCATCCATGATCCGGGTGAATTGAACTTCCATGGGATCTGGAATCACATGCGCAGTGAACGAAGCATATGGAGGTGGCGGTTCCAGGGACATTTCTTGTGCAAGTAGAAAGTTGCCTTTGTCGATCGACTCTTGCTCTGCTTGGGCGAGCATCAAGCATGCTCTGGCCCGGGCTTCCTCCGGGTTTGAGTTGCGGAGGCAATCCAATATACCGCAGACGCCCCAGACCCATCTCACCGTTCGGGGGAATCCCTGGATTCGCGGCCGATGCTCCGCCCACCCCCTTGCTGTCATGTTTGGCAAGGAGGCGTTGGGCAAGTGGCCCATGAGTCCATAGTCTTCGGCCATCAACTTTTCTATGCTGTTGTAAATGACTTGTGGTTCTTTCCGCAAGGCCTGTTTCAAGGCTTCGATGGCCTTCACATGCTTCTTGCCAGTCACAGTTGGTTGATCTGCTGAGCCAGAACTCTGGCCTCCCAGTGCATCGAGCGACTCTTCCAGGGTCTCCTTCTTCCCTTTTTGCTTGTTCATAGAGCTGACAATGTGGGTTAATTGAACTAAGGCCTTGGCCACAGGGTCCATTGCAGGGTCCAGCGGCTCGCCGTCGATGTCCTCTACAGCCACGGCGTCGTCGTCCAAGGGATCGATAGCTTTTTCTGGCACAGGTGGGCTGCGCCTGGGCACATCTCCCATCCTGCCTGGCTTCCCCTGCACCAAAGTACTCATGGCTTGGAGGTGGCTCATAGGAACTCCTGATTGCAGGGCGGCAGCGACTGTACCTGGATCCAAGCCAGGTAAGGCAGTTCCGCTGTCTTTGGCCCTTGGAGGTGCTTTTGGCAAGGCGCCCAACCCAGGCGGCGTAGCAAGGCGGCTTGGCCTCTGAACCTCCACCTCTTCCGCTGTTTGAAATCCAGACTCTTCTCCCAAAACTGTTGGCCTTACACCCTGAGCTGCTAACAAAGCATCCAGACCGGAACGGATATGAGCTACTTGCGACTCCAAGGCATTCAAACGGGCTGCTGGTTCTGGATCTGAATTTCCAACAAAAGCAACGTTGAACTTGTCCCCGGCAATCGCCTGCAGTGCTTCCCCAAAAGGCGCGCATACTTCCTCGGAATCTAATAAAACAAACTGAAGAATTGCAGCTTCGTCCGAATCAAAGTCCAGGCTTGAAAACCAAGACTTGGCAAGGAAACCAACCCAAATCTTGCACTTACCACCCGGCAATGCCTCGTGACGGCTTTCAAGGGAGCACGCAGCCACTTCAAGGCTCAGCGGCTTCTCAAGGGTGCCAGCTGGAAGCAAACGGTTGGCAGCTCTTCGGTGCCAAGCTTTGTGTGGGATCCCAGCCAAAACTCTGTCACCAGCAAGGCAAATCAGGATGATAGCAATACTTTCAGGTTTACCCTCCAGGGCCAGGTTCAAGCGCCCAATAGCACACTCAGGCTCCAAGCCCTCCTCTCCTAGAAGGCAGAACTGCTCCAAATCGTTCAAATCAATCTCGCCCATCAATGCTCAATGAACTTCACAGGCTGAACCCCCTCGCGCCCATTGCCCAAGGTCGTTCAAAGTGCAAACTTCACAAGACTTTGTACAGCTTATCGCCAGTCTCACGGTACAATCTGTTCTTGATCACTAGCAACAACCACTGCTTGAAAAGGAGCAAAGCTTCCAAGAATGGCCAAGCTAATATTCCAAACAAGACTCCCTTCCAAAAAATCAAATCGTTCGGATCAATATCTGGGCAAATCGGGCAGGTGGGGCACACGCTTTCAATTGGAATTGGAATGTGACTTTCTGAATTACGAGCCAAGTCACGCAACAACCAAAGCAAGAGCGATGAGATGCTCCCGCTAGCTGCAGACGCTACAAGGGGATGGCTATTCATCCACTCGACCCGAAAACTACCCCGATATAGAGTCAACACATGAGAGGCATGGCATGTTATGGCCCAAAAATGGAAATTGTCGATGCCCTCTGCATCCCTCTGGTATATAATCCTTGGCATAGCCATGCAAAATGGCCCATTTGTAGATGATTTACCTAGTAAACATGGTGCTGGTTTTCCGCAGCTAGATTACCGGCGAGTATGTGCAAATCATGTCAATGGTATCCTCCAGTACATTCTGAGTGATTGAACGCGCAAACTGATGCAAAAACACGGTGAAATTCCAGAGCGTAAACAGAAAACATGAGTTTCCTGGATGGGTCCCAGAGTCATTAGGCCATGTGTTATCTGGTTGGTGGTATACCTACCCCTCTGAAAAATATGAAAGTCAATGGGAAGGATGACATCCCATATATTGTAGAAAATAAAACAAGTTCCAAACCACCAACAAGTTATATAGTCATAACTGGTTGTCTATGGGATTACACAGTCCATTTCTATGGGGTGACTTGTTACTTATAACTGCTATGACTCGGGCCATGTGCAGGTTTCCTAAAATGAGGCTACCCCCAGTCATCATCCATAGATGGATTTTTCATGAAATAAAACATCCAGCTATTTGGGATCCCCCATGACCATTCGGAAACCTCCAGCTATTGCCATCGCCGCATCGCCCATCTCGTTGAGCCCATGACATTTTAAGACAGCAACACTATGCTACTTCAGTAATTAATGTAGTTGTAGTTGGTTCTATATTTTATATCCCGTAAAATATCCTCTTATATTCCCATTGAAAACTCATGAACATCATATAAAATCTCTGATCTTGGAACCACCATTTCAGTTATGGCCATTTATTAGTTATAACCGGTTATAAATGGGATTATACATTCTATAAATGGGGTTATAAGTACTTATAACTGGTAAATGGCCATAACTGTTGGACATATATATATATATTTGGTTTCACCCAGTCCTTAGCCTTTGATCACGACCTGACCATGCCAAGCTTCGGCGTGCATTGAGACACATCCGGCACCAAGACACCTGAACAAGGCAAGCAGTGGATGACCAGATTAGTTCACATGTCCATATTAATGCATCTATTGAATCTATTCTTCTGTGTTCATGCATATACATATACATATACATACATAAAAATATATGTATATATATATGTCGCATCTATGATTATGATTATTGATGTATCTATCCGCATCTGTAATCTTTGTATGTATGTATATATATATATATACATACATACAAATGTGTGTTACAGTGAACATCCCTTCAATGCACCATGAACGTTGCACCTCCGTTGCACGTCACCGTCATGTCGCCGTCATGGCCAGGCACCACCTCAGCTGGTTGGAATCTCGTCAGAAAGCCTGGCTGAAAGCCCTGGCTGAAGAGGTGGTGAAACAAACAAAACTATCAAAATTGGGTTGGGTTAATGGTTTTATGAGTGGTTAATGGTTGGGTTAACTATCAAAACTAACAAACAAACAAAACTATCAAGAGGTGTTTAATGGTTTTAGAGTTAATGGTGTTGAAAAAATCTCACTTTCTGTTCTGGGAGTTTCAAATCTAACCAGCAAAAATGATGGTTTAAATTGGTGTAACCATGTTCAAGCAGCAATAACGGGGGACATTTCACCTCCAAAAAATCAAATTTGATGAATACGGGAAACAACACGCAGAGGCTGACTCGGAGTCGGCCATGGTCTGCACTTCCCATGCTCGGAAAACCTCTGGTTTCCTCTCACCTGGCCTCTTGGGCTGCTTCGCCTCCATGTTCTTCCCAGCCGTAGACCTCTATAGTGGAGTGGTAGGCTCCGCCGCTCATGCATGAGGGACCAACGAGTCCGTCGACACCTCAAGTTGTAGACGTGGACGTGGTAGACCTGCAGGTTGTCTGTGTCTGGTCTGGAAGCTCTCATGCCAAAATGGTGGCAAAAGAATTCACTTGCGCCAGCCATACTGCCTGCAAAAATGATGGCTTTCAACAGGGTTTAACGGGGACCAATGAAGATTTAGACTTCAAACACCAGTGGAAATCCTGGTTGGTGCTCACGTCATCACCCCTCTAAGGAAGTGAACTGGGGATCCTAATAGACGCTGTTCACCCTATCCTGAAATGATACCCTGGTGACTTCCGAAATAGCTGGTATAATCTGGTATAAATATGGTACAAATAAAAGTTATATATACAAGTACATAGAATATAGGTTTGAACATGTTGGTCATTTCGGAGCATCTTCAGGAATTGAAAAAAAACATAGACACAGAATATTCCAGTAGTATACATATAATATGTGTTCAATTCAGGGAAGATGAAAAAAAAACATTGCACTAAAATTCACTCGGACTCGATCCCCCTAGAGATACTTTTGAAAAAGACTATGTAGAAACATTTTCCGAACCACATCGGGAATTGAATTCAGGTACATTCTATGTACTTGTAGATGCTTACACACACATATATATATATATATATAAATAGATGTGGTATATATATATATATACATGTAAAGATGGTATAATAGACTTCATTCCATCCCGCAAGGAAGTGAAGTGGGATCGTCATTCTATTTTTGGAATTGACAATAGCCGGTGAAACGATCAGTCTGAAATGATCCCCAAAAATAGTTACATTTGATGATGGCAAATGGATGTTCATCCCAAACATGATATAGATATGGTACGTTTAAATATGATGTATAAATAAGGTACAAGTAACTCGATAGCATGTAACTATGGTACACATGCTATATAATGTGGGAAAAAAACAATGTCATAAACCATCCCCCAGTCATCACCATTTTTATTAACGTAGTATGTTTACCATTCCCAGTCATGGGTGGTAAAAATGGCATTGTTTTACCCATATGGGATTTATCCAACCAATAGTGGATTTTCACTGGATATCCCCAAGCAACGCTTATGGATACATATATATATATATATATCCTCATCGCCGGACTCATCGCCATGTTTATAGGTGGTATAAACCTCTATAAACCATTCCCAGTCGTGAGTGGTTTATGACATGATTTTACCCACATGAATCGATTTCCGATCCATTCCCTTCGAAAAAAGCGAGATCCTGTGTAAGGATCCCCGGCAGAGGCGCAGGTCAGCGTCGCCGACTCCAAACCTGGGAGAGACGGCTGGAGAAGCGGCTGACTGTTGTGGTGGAAAGTTCGGTAGGGTGAACTGTTGGGTGGATATGGGAAGATATATATCAAACTTAGTTCCACCTGATTAGATGGGGAAACTCAATTAGATGGGGAACTCAATTTTCTAAATTGCTTGGGTGAACTATATTAGACGGAGAAACTAATTGAAACGAAGCCAACAAAGATGACTTACTGGTGGACACCACCTTGCAGCTTCGCTAGATCTACACCGATCAAAAACACCCTGAAGGTTGATGCCAAAAAGCGTGCCATCGTTCGTTGATGTTTTTCCCTGTAGTTACAAGGTTTCCAACTGTTCAATCTTTTTGGGTCCTTTTCATTTGACACTTAGAGTGGCCAGGATAACTTTTGATCCTGCACCAGTAATTGGTGACTATAAAACCCTGTTACCGGTGCAGGATTTAGTCCACAATATCTCCTCATACTCAGATGTGAGTATGTATCCCCTGTTTTCCTTACTATCCCCTTTGATGGTTCACCCCAGGATGAGTTATCCTACTTTCCCTAGCTCGAACTGGGAAGAACTACAGTGATCTAATCTATTTCATTAAATCCCATAGAATTCAATTACTATTTTCACATCATCAACCAATCAACCACTATAACCCACTATACACACCAACAGGCTTCAACTGCTGAGACCAAGAAACTGCTCAACTGCTGGCCGACGGCGCGTGTCTCTTGGATTCCAGACCTTGGAAATTCGCTCTCTGCTTGGAGAATCAACCCACGGATCAGATCTGCTTAGTTAGAGTGGTTACCTTCTGGTAAACTAACAGTTTGCTATGGAAAATCACCATTTTTAATAGGTAAACCATCTCTAAATGGGATATTCTCCAGTTCGCAAACTGTAAACGTTTACCAAAGGGTAGTTCACCAATTTCAATGGGATCACCTGCGATTGATGTGTCGGATCATCCAAGTAGAAGTAGGTTTTATGGCATATATAGGTATATATGATGCTCACTGTAACGATGCCTAATGATTGTCAATGAAAATGGGATTTACGCTGAAGTAAGTTAATCTATATATAAGTTGGCTTATTATAAGTATGACAAGTTGGGTTTATGGCAGTGGGTGAGCGGGTTTATAATCCAGCTTATAACTGGGTTGCAGCGCCGTGTGGAGTGATATGTCCAGCAGCCAGCATACCTCCAATTGTTAGCTAGTCATACCCCAACTTATTTATAGTTTGGAAGCCCCTTCCTGCATGGAGCTTGAACCTAGTCAAAGGGTATTGAAAAAGGACAAACTTATGAGAAGATCTTGAGTGTAGGGCACACAAACAGATAGAAAATGATGGAAACATATCTCCAGGAGGTATAGATGATGCATTCCCCCATCATAGAATTCCCTGGTTTCCAACTGTGCTTATCTGTTTATAGGGGCTTTTAGGGGTTCTTCTACTCTGGTAATATCTTTACTGTGTTTAGTCGCTGTATCCATGTGTATCCCCATATTGGCCTTACCAGCACAGTAGGGACATACCTGTCCCGTTTCCCACCTCAGCTGACTGCGTTCCTCTAAGAATGGGCACTTCTCAGAGATGTTGCTTGTGAGGATGGTAGACTCTGTGAAACAATGTCAAATCATGGGAATTTGACCAACTCCCCACAAAGCCTGATTGCGGATTCTGAACCACCATCAACCACTACCAATGTTACTAATAAGGTGTTGGTTGAATGCCCTTGAAATCATGACTGGCTAATTTAATTCTTCACCACCAACAGCCACGAATCACGAAATGAGTGCCAATCATAGATACCCTGCAAAAAATGGCAGATTCTTAGCTGGTGAACGTAGATAATCCCATACCAAAAGACTATTTTGGATTAGTAAACTACCCATCTTTCAGAACCAGAAATTAGGGCTGAACCATCTGTCGGAAGGGTCACCTTCGAGAAGGGGGTCGGTAACCGCTCCAAACGGAGGCCCCGGCAGTTCCACGAAAAAGGTCTGTGCGTTGCCGCAAGGTGCGTCGCTGCAGCCTTGAGCCTGCCAGGTCTCAAGATTCGACAGCGATGGTTGATGAGATGATGAGATGTTGGATACCCTCTGGTAATTTAACATAGCTATGGAAAATCACCATTTTTCATGGGAAAATCCACTATAAATTGCCATTTTCAATAGCTATGTTAGTTTACCAGAGGGTACCATGATTGATCCAACATTGGTCCAATATTTCCCATGGATACCAAGATTGGAAATGTGGGATCCAAAGATATTCCAAAGCAAAACACCCAAATCCTCAACCGTTTTTTGTGGGGGCTACACAGGTAAATTTAAACATATCAGCCTAAGTAGGGTGTATGCCCAATAAACTACTCAATGAAAAGCCACCTCTTGGGTCACTTGGGGACGTTTTATTTTTGTGTATCTGCCATGCTCGCTGCAAGGGATGAAAAGATCCCATTGATGACCAACGTATTGAAAAAGTGGGACCTCGGCTGAGGAAAACATCAAGAAACATACAAGGTGGTGTCCCCCCAGGTATGTTTGCTGGTTTATAAACCATAGTAAGTATAGATATATCTACTATAAACCATAGTGAAATTAGATTGGAGTTATGAACCAACTTAGCTAACGAACTGGGGCACCATCTTAAGTTTTACCCTTACCCAGCTGGCAGCAAGCAAAAGCCACAACAACCAACAGCGGCAAGTACAACACCAGCCCACCCATATTGCAAAGGATACCCTCCAGTAAATTAACATAGACCCTGCCAGAAAACGGGGTTGAAAGATTAGTTTCCTCTAAAAATTGGTGATTTTCAGGGTCCAACTGTTAATTTACCAGAGGGTAAACAATGAATTAACTGATGATTTTCGCAGACTCAAACATAGTCCCTTTATCCCCCTTGAGTCCCTTGAGTTTAACGGTAACCAAAAAAACTGTTTTTCAGTGCAGCTCAGGACCGTTTTCCTTGCTGTTTTTGAAATTCCACAGTGAGAACCAAGAACTGTTGGGGTGTATTTTCGAAAGAAAATACCATTACTATACCAGTTGTGAATCTTCACCTAAATTAGGAGTGGTTGACCGCTGAAGGGATATAAACTGGGTCCCCGCGCACTGAGGGTCCCCATATTGAACTACAATCCCATGAAAGTAGAGTCCCATTTCCAGAATCAACGAAAGAGGTCGTGTTGCTCTATTCAATAACCAGGGAGAATGCATCTTCCCCCTAAACATAAGTTTCCAAATCCCACCTCTTAGTCAAAAACAAACATGTTTGTTGGCAAAATCTACAACGTTTGTGTGTTAAACCTCCATTTGTCTCTCTCAAGACCTCCATTGTCTCTTTCTCAAAACCTTCATTTTTTAATGGTCATGAATGTTCATCACCCCGACCAAAGAATCTCATGGTTTTTTAATTTAACCCATCCTAATATCAAAACCCAAGCCTGGGCGGTGAAAGCGAAACTTCCGTATTTCAAAACCCCAGGACTACACGGCAAAAAACAACAAATGATTGAACAAAAACCTGCGAATAGCTTCTACTGATAGGTGTTCCCATAGTGGATCTAAGAATCTCCATGAACTATCCAGTATAGAACTGCCTCCTATAGTAATCAATTAAACTATAGTAATTTCCAATGCCAATAAATCAATAATCAACCCTATTTTAAAGGAAACAAAGGCATTTCCTGTTTTAGAGGAAACTCAAACATATAGTAATGTAAATCCTATATCAATATGTAAACAACAAGATCACTGCGCCTGACAGACGCAGGTGGACACATCCGCCGTTACAACCTCGGAAGGGCGGAAATCATTCACTGACAGCTGAAAATAGCTGGTACCATACATTTTTCCTGATAAATTCCCTGTCTCCATCTCCAATCTCATGAAGATCTTTCCCAAACAGCACTTTTGGAGGACAGAACTCAATGCCTCCCTCCCGTGGCACAACTTCTATGCCCACAAAGACTGGAAGGCTGTCCTTGAATAACAGGATGTGATCATTGGGCATATCCTCAAATTTTGGCTGCCAGATCGGGCCTTTATCCGCACTCATAAAGAAGCCTCTTTGGTACTTATGCTCCCAGGGTCTGGTTCCTCCTGCGCAGAGAGGAGTTCCTGTTGCACAGTATGGTTTATAGAGGTTTTCTTCGTTTTCAGAAACTGCCAATAACTCCTTTGCCAGATTGATCACCTCTCCCTTGTCTCCATCCACAAATACCCGCTTCGCATCATAGTAGGTCCTTGTGCCCAAGATCTTGCTTACCATGAACTTTATGAAAGTCAGAACAGAACATCTGGAGAAAGAGGCAGTTCAGTTTGAGCTCAAGGAACCAGAAACGAAATATGAATATGAGGTTATGGAGGAACTCAATGGAATTCAAGAAGTGTTCGCCCAGGAGGTGGAGAAAAACTACAGACATTATGTATATATATATATATATGTATGTATGTATGTATGTATGTATGTATGTATAGATGTATAGATGTATATATATATATATATATATTTTCTATATACATAAACATGGTCACGTCGCCCGTAGGAGCGCTGGAGTGTTGTCAATTTTGAAATGAGCCATTTTCAAACATCCCATTCGAATTTGCAACCCTCGTGGGTGTTTCAAGAACATCGATGGAATTTCTCAAATACATGACAGTCAAAATTCCTTGCAGCGCGGTCAAAAAATGATTTCTTTCTGTTGAAAAAAACACCGCGCAGGTCATCAAATTTGACTGCGCAAGTTGTAGCACCCCCTCTTTTTTCTTTCGCAGTCAGCGAGTTTCTGCACACAGTTGTCCAAGTTTATGGAACAGACTTCCAGAGACCTGCCGTCTCCAGTAACCTTCGTAGAGGTAGGCCCAAAGCTCCTTCTCCTTGATCTTGCCAAGTCTTTTCATAGTCCACTGCTTTGGAACAGCACCTTTCACATGTTCCCATTGTCGATCTAATTGCTGCGTTCCTGCCGACAACTTCCCACGGCGTTTTCTGGTGAACTCGGCTTTCGAATGTTTCACGACCAACCATTTCAACTTCTTCCGGAGCCAAGATTTGCCATCTTTCTTCCATCCCATGGCTCCATCAATGGCTCTTGAGAGGTTTTCCGTATGGGGAGGTGAGCTTCCAGGGACACGATTCTTGGAAATTCAGAGCGTAACACCAAGAGCGTCTTACAAGTTACAAGAACAAATCAGAGCGTAGCATCAAGAGCGTCTTACAAGTTAGGAGAAGAAGTTAAGAGCGCAGCATCAAGAGCGTCTTACAACTTACAAGAAGAAGGTCAAAGCGTGTGGCAAGGTACAGTGCAAGAGAGAGTTGATAGCATAGCAGCAAGTCCAAGAGCATATCTTGTAAGACGGCCAGCCAAGAAATAGTGCAACGCGCGCGCGCTCCTAGAAGCGCCCACACCACAAACATATACATATCTAAAGTGGATTAGATTGTTTTTTGATATGTCAAAAACAACACACTTAAACGGGAATATGATTGAATCTTTGATATTTGATATTCTATCTACTTGAGGATGATTATATATCCTACTTACGGTGGGTACTCTAAAAGATAGCTGATTTGGTTGAACTAACGATTGCTTAAGTAGGGTTATCTTTTAGTTCAACCAAATCAGCTATTTTTTAGAGTACCCACCGTAAGTAGGATATATCATCATCCTGAAGTAGAGTAGGGTTTATGGCTTATGGGAAAATATCTCTAATTTTTTATGGGGTTATTTTCACAAAGTTATGACTTCAAAAACGGGGCCACCTTGTAGGATTTTGTGGTGCGAGCCATCAAGGACTGTACTGTACTGTACTGTGCCTCTGAAAAATATGAGTTCGTCAGTTGGAGTTACTATTCCCAACATATGGAAAAAATACTAAATACTCCAAACCACCAACCAGGCCGTAGATATTTTAGATGCACATGGACACAGATCACCAGTGATCAGGAGGTGAAGAGAAGGGGAATCAAACCAACATAATATAATATGACTCGCATGACATAAGCCATTTGTTTTGAGGATTAAAACAGCAACATAAATCACGCTGCTCTGGATTTTCATCAACAATAGACAATAGACATATCTACACATATCTTCTCAAAAAAGTAGCATCTAGCATTGGCCTGGCTGCAGTCACTGGATCGTTGGCTTCTGGAAAAGAATGACATGTTGGATCCAACTTGAGAAGCAGCTGACGGGGGACTAGATTCGCCCTGATCCCAAATGGCAAGTGCTTCATCATCTTCCAACGTTGCGATACAGGTAACATGCAGTTGTGGCCCTTAACAGTTACAACTGGGATTATTTCATGATATATAACCTTAGTTATAGGAGTTATAAATTATAATCGTTATAACTTTCACCCTCTGGTAATTTAACGTAGCTATTGAAAATTGCCACTTCTAGTCGTTTTACCCTTTAAAAATTGTGATGTTCCATGATTTTCCACAGTTATGTTTGTTTACCAGAGGGTAGTTGGGCCATAACTGTGGCTATACAGCAATTTCCATATGACGAACATCTCTGGATCCCAAGGCCTTATCCCAAACGACAAAAAACTGATTGGTGGTTTCAAAAATCCCATTGGACAAATATCTGGTTGGTGGTTAAAACACATCTTGAAAAATGATGGAGTTCGTCAATGGGAAGGATGACATCCCATAGATGAAATGGAAAATAAAAAACCATGTTCCAAACCACCAACCAGAACATGTCAGTTGAGTAAATCATCATATTTTACTGCCTTAAACCACCTTAAGTTCGTGGCTTAGAACATGAAGAAACCTCATCGAAACCACCATGATTTTCGCCCCTTTAAGACTTGGATACAATGGTACCCCCGCATTCTGTTGGTTCATTTTATCCCGATTACCGGTATAACCCCTGAAAATTGTCAATGTAGATATAAGCCGCTCCAAATTTAAACCGTAGGAAAAGTACAGATATATCACCTAGAAACATCTATAAACCATAGTGAAATTGGAGTTTTCTGTGCACCAACTTCGCCAACGAACTGCACAACCACCTCTATGTGGTACAGGTTCCATCCATTTCCTACACCACTGGGCGCCCGGCGTCGGCGAAGCAATTCAGCTTGTAGCTGCCGCTCTGAGCCAACGGGCGCGTTGGCTAAGTGGGGCAGGGCTACAGACTTGGGTGATTTTGAAACACCGGTTAGGGCTAAATAAATTAATGGGTGCCTTGGCTAGATAACTGTTAAATATTGGGTGACCGGTTATTTAACAGTTTGCTCTGGAAAATGGCCCATGAAAATAGTTGATTTTCCATTACCACAAGCATCCCGAGGATGCACTTTGAGAAACCAGGTGTTTGAAACCACCAGCCAGAAAGTATTTATATATATATATACATATTATATATATATACATATTATTTATATATATATATATATATATACATTATATTATATGTATATATATATATATACACATTAAATATAATTATACATGTATACATATGTACATGATCCGTATATGTGCTGCAAGTATATACCCTGTCTTGCTGACTAAAAAGTCCTTTTGTTTTGCTTGCCATATGTATTTCTGCTTGGTAGTTCATCGCACATGTGATTGGAACTTCCCAACTATACATATACTGTATTTACCTGTTGATATAAAACATACCACAATACTTGATGAAACTAGACATACATAAACATGTCTTTCCGCAACCAAACAGATACTGGTTGGTGGTTGAGCCCTACCCCTCTGAAAAACATGAGTTCGTCAGTTGGGATGATGACATTCTCAACTGAATGGAAAGTCATAAAAACCATGTTCCCAACCAACCGGGATATTTCCAATTCTTCTGGTCCCATGTTTCCCAGTTCTGCCGAGGCACGTAGTCAGGATTCACCACATTGCACTGAGCGCTTTCTGAAGCTCCATGAAGCAGGTCCTGCACGGATTTCAGAATCATTGAGGTCAAACCGACGGATCGACTTCAATAGATTGGTCTAGTAAAATTGAAACGAGTTGAAACCATGACCCATGACGGATCCATGGTGCTGGTATATATGGTGCTCCATGGATCCCATCAATATACCCCAGTCATGTTAGCATATATACCATACATGGATGCTATGGGTGATGGTGAATTTACCTCCAGAGGTCTCCTGCACATTTTACATCCAATTCTGGGATTTTCTCTCCGGATTCGAACGTGCTTCCTGTCACAAACCAAATTCAAATAATGTATTTAACCCGATGATAAACAACCATTTTTGGGTGGTTTAAACAACCCACTTTGGGGAAAAACTAGGGGTAGTGAATATTTTTGGGAGGTACACTTTTGGATATGATGGACTTCACGGTTTACCACGCTACCGTCCAACATGAAGAATCCGTTTCCCGAAACTGACTCTGGGATCAGGAAAAAGTTGGGTTGATCTGAGATCGTTTTTCCGTTTGGCGTTGAAATCATCTTGTAACAATGGTGATTTGTTTTGGGTAAACCATGGTACCCTCTGGAAATTTAACATAGCTATTGAAAGTGGCCCATTTATAGTTGATTTACCTATTAAAGATGGTGATTTTCAATAGCTATGTAAACGTTTACCAGAGGGATCCAGAGGGTAAACCTCAAACATATGTTGTTTCCAGTTTGTAAATGAGTTGTTGACTACTTTGCGATCCCCTGAAGCTGATGTTGATCTCCGCAGATACTCGAACCTACCATGCACCAATCAAGTTGCCCACAGTGACGTGCCCATGCTTCGGTTAGTGTTTTTTCCTGGTTTGTGCATAATCCTACTTATACCACAGAAAATCAAATTACTAAACTATTCCAAGTATACATATATCTGGGTAAATCATAATATTTCACCAGCCTGAATCTTGCGGCCACACCACTTCTCTTGCGGAGCCCAGCCATACCCCCTGAATCTTGCGGCCATGTGGGGATGATTTCCTTATGAAAACCATGATTCCAGGGCTCGGTCGTTATAATTTACCCAAATCTATGAGAAAAATTCCCTCCTCGTCGCTTCCTCCGACGGATTCAACTGGTGAGTTAAATCATGCAGTTCTTTCCGCTTGAAACAGTTGGTTGGTTGGTTGGTTGGTTCTTCAATAGTTAATACAAACATCTGTACACCAAATTCATCATTCATCATGGGCCACTGTAGATTCTATCTTACATCCAAATTCTATCTCATTATTAGATGTAAATCTCCATATTATATTAGTCCTATACTACATATTCTTTATATAACTATATATACATATACTAATACTCCATATAGGTCCATACTTAGTGTATATATTTAGAAGTACTAAGTCACCCCATTTATGGAATGTATAATCCCATTTATAGCCATACATGATAATATATATATAAGACTACACATGTAATTGCTAACTAAACCAACTCCCGAAAAGGAAAAACACCCCGATTCTTTGGTCCCGTTTTGATGTGTTTTACGGCCCTACCCCATGGTTTCTGTGGATGTGTTTCACATTAGGGGGAAAGGATTATCACCTTAATCCCAATGATTAATCATAATTTTCCCAGCATAACATGGCTATAATTGGGGGCATAACCTATTTTCAAACACAGCCATTTGGAGATTTCCAAGGGGGAATCCACCATAGGTTTTAATGCAAAGTCATGGCCATCCATGACTTGGATACTGAAGGTACCCCCAAGTCATCCACTTAGGATTTTCCTTTGCAAACCATCCAGCGAGCTCTTGGGGTCCTGGGTGATGGCCACTGACTGCGTCACGTCGTACAGGGTGACGCTGGCCACGTTGCCGGTCTCGCAGGGCAAGCCCCTCAGCCGTGGGTGGAGCGTAGCTCTGCGGGTGGATTTCCTTAGGAAGAAAGGTGTGTTTTAAGGTGAAACACCTGGGACAACTGGAGATTTCCCGATGTTTTGCCATGAAACTGAAGATTCAACCAAGAAACATGGCGATTTTTGACCCCGATAATTTTGGGATTTCACCAAAAATGAGGATTTCATGAAAATTGAACGAGATTAGCAAACATCATCATACAGATTCAACCAACAAACATGGTTAAAACATACAGTAGTCATTCAAATGGAATATATATATATATACGACATGTTATTTTGATTTGTAAGTTGTAAATATTTACAAGTAATCTGGTTTATGAGTAGATTATCTGTTGGGTTCATGACTATACTTATCGTTCGTATCTTATAGTTTCCCAGATACCGGGGGTGAATGGTCGCCTCAACCTCCCTGCTGGGATGGTTCAGCTACGGCGGAACAATTGGACACCACTTGGCGAACTACCCACGAATCGTTTGTTGTGGGTTATAACATGTTATAACTCACCCCAGTGATAACTAATGGGATTTTTGTAGGCTATTCATCCACATCAATCACTGGGTCCTGAGTTTCCGGGCGCGCAGTTGGTCACGTCTCCAACCAAGGCACCACCGTTGCAGGTGATCTGAGCCTTAAAAAACACAACGGGAGACCGTATGGAACCTGGAGATTTAAACAAGCTGAAATTTAAGTTGGGATCTAATTTAGTGTTTGCAAAAAATATGGGATTTTTATTCATCGAAGAAACCATATCTTGAGATACAATGTTCCCAACAGATAAACCTTTTTTTCCAACCATTTAAACTAGATTTTTCGGAAACCAAATGTTGCTTGTTTTGTTTGCACATGATGATTTAGCCAAGCCACATTTGAAAAACATGACCCGCGGAAATGATGATGTTTCAGCAGCCAAACATGTGATTTAACCAACTAAAGCAAGGATTTAACTAAGAAACATGATGGATTTTACAATGAAACATGGATATCATGAAACATTTATAGTAAAGGATATTACAACAAATATTGGTATCATGTTTCAATGGATATCTAACTTACCATCATATTTACCTAAGTTTTTTCTGATTGGTAAGTTGGTAAACACGAATACTAGGATAACCATTCTGAATACATGTGGTGGACTTCCCCGAGGCAACATCCAATCTGTTTCCTGGGAAAGTCACACTTTTTCCTGACAAATAAGTTGGTTTATAAGTCCAATATCTAGGGTTATGGAGGTCATATCAAACTAGTTCATGGGGATGATAAACCAACTTATAACTAGGGGGTACCACCTTGTAGCAAATGATTTGGATGAGCGGACAAGTGAATGGCAGGTAAATCTTTGGGGATACAACATCTAATGGCCTGGAAGACGAACTATTGGGTCACACACACACACACATTTCGGCCAAACACATCACCCAAATCGGGATTGATCACCGAAAAGTGATGTTTAGCCACCCAAAAAAATGTGATGCTTACCTTCTTAGGAAGTGCGACTTGGGACTAGGGTTTTCTTGTACCTTCTCAGACAGTGTATACGGATCCATAGGGGTTCATATTGTTGGCTCCCAATATTATGGTATACCCTCTTGTAAACTAACCTAACTATGGAAAATCACCATTTTCAATGGCTAAATCCACTATAAATCACCATTTTTAATAGCTATGTAAACGTTTACCAGAGGGTAACCCCTTCTAAAAACCAACCAAACAACGATTTTTCTCACGGCCTCGGCAAAGCCAAACTGGGCGTCCCCAGCTGTGCCGCTGAAACCCGTGTAGAGACTGTTGCATTCGGTGAAGAACCCCCGGGTGTCGGCCACTTCCTGTGCCACGAACTTCCAGAGTCGACCAAGCTCTTGGATCATGAGAAACAAGATGCGTTGAGCATGGATAGAAGCCAACATGGATAACTAACAAATACATTGGATATAAATATAACTGGTCCTACCTGGTCCTTATCACGGATATAACATGATATACCACAGAAAACTAACCATGACAAGAATTTTTCATGTGATATCATTTGAATACACCAGCAATATGAATTTGACATGGGAAACATTCTGATTACAGTAATCCTTGGATTGATCATTAGCGTAGCGTTGTGGACTAATCGAAGCCCCCTTGGTGGAGCCAAGGTGGAGCCATGGAAAGATGAACCATGCTATTAAGTACGGTAAACCATCTATTTCGATTAGGGCCATCTGTAGCATGGCGAACTGTTCAATTTTTCCAGAGGGTATATCCCATTAAAACCACCATTTTGTTGGTTAAACCCCATTAAACCACCATTAAACCACCATTTTCCTATGGTTTTCCTATGGTTGTTTTGTCAAAGGTTGGATTTTGGCACAAAAAAACATCACAGAAACCTCAGCCATGGACCAGCGTGGCCCGCGCCTCCGGAGTCGAGATGGTGATGACCTTGTTACCCAAGATCACCTGGGCGGCGGACCAGTAGATCCATGGTGAAGATGGCTAAGCTTGGCCATTGGGTATACGAACTATTAAGGGAAACTAACTATACTAACTATGAACCGAAAATAAATGACTAAGAATCTAGAAACATAACAATCTAGACAAATAAACCAATCTAGACAAATAAACCAATCTGGCTGATTCACCAACCAATCTGGAAAAACGATGGTCAAGATTAACAAATCTGGAAAACTAAATAATACTATACAATACAAGCAAAACAAACAACATAAACAAATAATATATAATATCTCTGCTAAGCTGCTAATCAAGATATACGAACCATTAACGGAAAAATATACAATCTGGATGAAGTATACAGTTTCACCAACCTGACATAATTCGTGGTGGAGCATAAAAACACAACTGCGGCCAGACCTCCTGCTATACAAAGTGGGGCAAAAACTTCCGCTATGCTGCTACAGTCTGCCAATTTCACGGGACGTACTTCTATCCACTTTGATACGACAAATTGGCTTATGCATAGGAACAAAAACAGATCTACAAGCACGACAGCCTCAATGTTCAGCCCAGCAAACCCGTCTTGTGTGGCAAAAGAGCGACCCATTTACCAACCGTTCACATCCAATGGAAATCAAGGTAATAGTCAACAAATCTTAATAATCCAATATGTTCCACGAAACTAATCACAATCATATTATAACCACAATACTTGATACTTATTACCATTTCATTTCTATTGGTTATTCATTAATCATTAACCATTCACTAAAATAGTTTTATCATTATAACCATTCATCGTTCTCACTTTATACTTTATACATCTTTATACTACAGCATATAGTATATAACTATATGTTTCCTTCTGGTATTAACAGTTATCATGCACGAGTTTGACTATAAAGCATCATTACTAGTTACAATCATTATCGTTGTAATCATCATGACTCTTACAACTACAATCACAATTATCATAGCTCTTCAAATATAATCCTATACTCAATACATATATATATATATATAACTAGAATTTAGCCTAGGGTCAGCTGACATAGATCTCGAAAACCCTTGATTTCCTGGGAAAATGATATACTGGTTGGTGGTTGAGCCCTACCCGTCTGAAAAGTATAATTCGTTCGTCAGTTGGGAAGGATGACATCCCAACTGAAGAAATGGAAAGTCATAAAAGTCCATGGTTCCAAACCACCAACCAGATCACCATCATATTCCCATTGTTGTTGGTTTATAGCCTATTAACCACTATTAACCATCATCACCAACTATTAACCACTATCAAACCCAATGATCATGAGCTGAGAATGGAGGGTGTTTTTCCACATCTATCTGAGAAAAAACCCTGCCATCTCGGCCTGTCCAGGTCTGGACGGCAGGCACACCAACTGGCAACTGGACCTGGGATTCCGTTGGACAAATTCCGTTGAAGCTTTCCATCGGGGGGAAACCACTGCCGACATATGCCGACTCGTCAGATGGGATCCCTGCCGAGTCTTCGTAAACGATGACGAATCCATATGGATCAAATTCAAACCTACATCCTACAATACATTGGATATATGATGATGAATTATGTATGATACATACATACTACGATCTAAATTGCTATATCTAAATCTGCCAGAGGGTAACTAAGAGTAGTGAAACCACTAAACATCACCTACAACACATTTAGAATATTTGGATATATGATGATGAATTATGTATGTTGAACGATACATACTACATAGGATTAATATAGTATGGCATATTCTTAATATATACATCAATACATTAAGAATATTTGGATATATGATGATATGAATGTTGTCCGAAAAGGAAAATAACAACGACCAGCTGACCAGCTATTAAAAAATGCCATAGTTCCAGCGTTTTGATCCACAGCAATATCAACCCCGTATTGAATATTCAATGGTCGTGATATGTCAGAAAAGCCTCTGGCAAATTTAGAATGACTCTGAAAATCACCAATTGTTTGGTGGTTTCACCACTCTTCCAACGGGGTCATCTTAATTTACTGGAGAGTATAAGGGCCCCTGACACGATGGGTCAGTTGGTGGACAACAATCAGGCGCCAGATGTTGAATTTCTCACGGATGTATACATAGCTGGACGCAAATAACGCCAGAAACTCTTTGTTGTTAAGAAAACAACAACTTATACCCTCCAGAAGACCTGGATCTGGAAGACTTGGTGGCTCATCCCAGGAATCCTTCCAGGAATGGCAAGTGGGATATATATATATATAATATACAATATATAATATATATATATATATTAAGAGGTCCCTTGGCCTCTTTAAATGGTATTTCTGTCAATTTGGCAGAACTGTTTCTAAAACTTCAAGGACTATTTCTAAATGTGTTCAGGACCATTCCTAAAATATGTATATATATGTATATATATATATACCCTAATATGACTTATATAACTTTATATCACTAAATGAGATTCCCTAGACACTGAGATATGATCACATCAGGCTGCGGCCTTTTTTTTGCCCAACTGCGCATGGTAAATCCCACAGTGTTCACACTGTGGCAAAAAGCCAAAATGAGCCCACCATATCGAATTTACGGGATCTTAAGAAAGGAGTCATTTCCCAACTGATTTTCAGAAATTCAAATTGAAGATGGCTGAATTGATTTCCCAATCAATTCATGGTGGTCTCCGCCTCCACCCTACATCTACACACCCCATTTTTTGGCTCTGTTGGCCTGACCATCCTTTTTCGCTTTTTTCTCAGTCTTCCGCTTCTTGGCAGCCACGGGTTTCTCCGTCTTCTCATCTTTGGAGGCTTTTTGAAGCCACTCATCCACCTTCCCAGCCAAGAGCTTTGGAAGATCCTGCTTCCCCATGCCAAAGCCGGCCATGTACTTGACAGCTGTGGCATAGAAGCCTGGGTGAGCTGACATGCCACCAGAACGTGGTCTCCAATGTATACAAATGTCAAAGTGGTTGTGTTGTATGTGATGGTATGCAAATGAAAACATGAAGTGATGCACCCATACTGTGATGTCGCGCAAAAGTGATATCATATCACCAAGGTCGCATCAAACCATCAGATCTTGTGCTTTTCACAAATTCCAACACGCGCTCGGCGCGCTCGTCCACCAAACTCAAACTGCCACGAGCGCGCCGAGCGCGTGTTAGTGTTTCACGAAAAGCAAACAAGCCCAAAAGCAAGTCTTAACTTCAAAGGATCATTGCAACATCCAAACTTGTCTCTGCCTCCTGCTTTCTATACAAACCCTAACGCGCGCTCGGCGCGCTCGGCGCGCTCGTCCATACAGCTTAAAACCAAAACCTGAAACATTACCCTGCAAAAGGAAAGTATTGCAGAGATGCTTTGAAGTTCAGAACATAATATTGCTTTACAATGCTTTACACCTGTTTTGCTTTTCCACAAACCCTAACACGCGCTCAGTGCGCTCGGCCAAAACAAACCCTAGCACGCGCTCAGCGCGCTCGGCCAAAACAAACCCTATAACATCCCTAACACGCGCTCAGCGCGCTCGTCCACCTAACCCCAAAACCCTAAGCTTTCTTGTTGCATATTTTACATAACTAGAGTGTTGCAAAGCTTGCTTTTTGCATATTTTACATAACTAGAGTGTCGCAAAGATCCTTTAAAAATCAAGCTTGCTTTTGGTTTTTTACTTTTTCAGAAATCCTAACGCGCGCTCGGCGCGCTCGACCACAAACCCTAAACCCAAAACCCTAAGCTTGCTTGCATATTCTGCATAAGCAGAATGTTCCAGAGATCCTTTGAAGGTCAGAATGTGACTTGCTGTTGGTCTTGTGCGTTTCACAAATTCCAACACGCGCTCGGCGCGCGCCGAGCGCGCGCCGAGCGCGTGCCGAGCGCGCGCCGAGCGCGCGGAGCGCGTCGAGCGTGCGTGTTAGTGGCTCACGAAAAGCAAACAAGCCCAAAAGCAAGTCTTAACTTCAAAGGATCATTGCAACATCCAAACTTGTCTCTGCCTCCTGCTTTCTATATAACCCTAACGCGCGCTCGGCGCGCTCGTCCATACAGCTTAAAACCAAAACCTGAAACATTACCCTGCAAAAGGAAAGTATTGCAGAGATGCTTTGAAGTTCAGAACATAATATTGCTTTACACCTGTTTTGCCTTTCCACAAACCCCAAAAAGGCGCTGAGCGAGCTCGGCCAAAATAAACCCTAGCACGCGCTCAGCGCGCTCGGCCAAAACAAACCCTAACACGCGCATTGTGCCTGCCGGCAATCCTCTGAGTGACTGACGCGCCACATCAGTAAAGCACTGCTTCGTGATAGGGTCGCCAACAGACACCTAAGCAAGCGGTTTGTGTAAACTACACCATGATGGATGATGATGATGATGATGATGATGATGATGGCGGCAGTGATGATGAACAGGATGAACCTGGTGATGCTCATGTTGATGATCAAAATGATAACAGCAGTGCCACTGTTTCATTGCTCCTTGGGGGCTGGTGATTGCTGAATCAAAAGTTCATTGAAACATCTCGGAAACATGCGTTGTCAAGGCCCACAACTGGATTCTTTGTAAATGATGATTTGTTAAAGTATGTTATGCTATGCTCTCTTGTGCGAAGTCATCTTATGTTATGGTATCTTATGAAATTATGACTATTACTATTACGATTGCCATTACTATTGCCATTACTATTGCTATTACAGTATTACATGATAAAGAACATGTTATGATTAATGTATGTTATATACAATGCTTTGATATGATGATGATATGATATGTGATGTGAGGTAGTGAGAAGCGGCTCTGAACGGTTCAGAGCTATCTATGGGAGATTGTTTTAGAAATAGCGCTAAACGGCTCTAAGCGGTTCAGAGCTTTGTATAAAATCAAGTAAGAAATAGCGCCAAGCGGCTCTAAACGGTTTAGTTCTATTTCTAGTTATCGCCTGCCATTTTTCCCAATTAGTCCAGAGCGGTTTAGAGCGGTTTAGAGCGGTTTCTAAATTTCATGGATTTTGGAACCGTGTTTGGGCAATGAGAGAAAGAACTAAACGGTTCAGAGCGGTTCAGAGCCATTCCTCGCAGATGTCTTTGAAACGGCTCTCAATGGTTTAGAGCGGCTTCTGGCACGTCCCAAAGTGCCTACATAAAAAATACATCAAAAACATAAAATATAATATATATAAAAATATAGTTTAAAAATATGAGAACAACAAACATAAATAATTCATCATCAATGGCTCAATGATTGATCAATAACAATAATTGACAAAGTCAACTGACAACCGGTGCCAAGAAGACGGTTGAACCAAGCCACTTCAAGTGAAGCATGGTTCAGATTCAACGCTTCAATCTCTCGGCCATTGAGGCCGAGGCCAGACAAGTCATGGTGCTTTGAAAAAACCATTGGCCCATTTGCCTTCCCCATCCTCAAATCCCGTTTTATCTTCTTCGCCGAGCTCACAATTTCAGCTCGACGTGCACCATCCTGGCTGGTTGGGCTTTGGGAATGGTCTGGCTGGCTAATGGTTGAGAAATCTTCCTGCTCTGATTTGGAAACAGTATTGTACTGGTTTGATTTTAGAAATAGTCCTGGACTGATTTAGAAATAGTCCTGGATTGATTTAGAATTAGTTTTGTTTCTTTTTTTCTTTTACGGCCTCACAGAAGACCCAACGGCCCAACGACGGACTTGGGACAGCCCAAGAAAAGCCCCATCATAAGAACCAACTAAAGGGTTAATGAGCAATCCAGGGCCATGCGGTCATGTGCCCAATATGTCATCATCCAAAAAGGTCACATGAACTGAACAAGAAAGGCTGACCTTTTGACTGGTGCCTCACAACAAATGATAGCTGGGTCATGGATCTTTGTTGCTGGCTGGCAATGACACTGGCAACTACATGGTTTACGATTGTTTCGCGGCCGTGGTAAAAATGTCCATGGTGTGAATAGAAAATAAGCACGCCGCTATAGCGAAACAATATTTTTGCACATCCAGCATGTGAAAATGCATCATCGTCGTTTCAGAAAACTACTTGTTTTATTTGCACTGTCATCATCATAATGAGCATCATCATCATCATCACCATCATCATCATCATCATGATCATGATCATCATCATCATCATCACATCATCACATCATCATCATCATCAGCATCATCATCATCATCAGCATCCTCAACACCATATAGATCGTCAACATCATATAGATCGTCAGCAGCTGCAGCTAAGATATCTGGTTAACGTCCCACCTACCCACCCGTAGCATCCACTTCATGTGCAATCATAACTACATGTTCTTAATCCCGATACAGCAGCGTAGCATGCACATGCATGGAAGGTTCCAGAGAACTTACAATAGCGTGGCACGACGTGTGAGTGGAAGGTAAAAGAGAACTTACAGTAACGTAGCATGACGTATTAGTGGAAAGTTCCAGAGAACTTACAATAGCGTGGCATGACGCATGAGTGGAAAGTTCCAGAGAACTTACAATAGCGTGGCATGACGCATGAGTGGAAAGTTCGAGAGAACTTACAGTCGCGTAGCATGACGTATGCATGGAAGGTTCCAGAGAACGTACACTAGCGTGGCATGACGCATGTGTCGAAAGTTCAAGCGAACTTGCAGTCGCGTAGCATGACGTATGCATGGAAGGTCCCAGAGAACTTACAATAGCGTGGCATGACGTATATACCGTATGTATGAGTGGAAAGTTCCAGAGAACTTACAGTAGCGTAGCATGACGCATGCATGGAAGGTTCCAGAGAACGTACAGTAGCCACAGAGAAGCATGTTCGTCCTCCGCAAGTTCACATGAACGTTAATACATGCCCCACCCCACCCCAGCCCACCCGTGCATATATTCACCTACCGGCAGCCACAGAGAAGCATTTTCTTTCTCCGCAAGTTCACATGAACGTTAATACATGCCCCACCCCACCCCACCCCAACCCAACCCTTCAGTTGCGTTGCGTGCCACTTACAAGGAACGTTAACATGCCCCACCCCACCCCAACCCTTGAAATGCATTGAAAAAGTAAAAGAAAAACCACTTCCTGCCACGGCCGTGCAGCAGTCGGTGTCCAACTACATGGTCCTATGCTATGCGCACACAAGTGGATGGGCATGCCATGCCAGGTGAAAACAAGAAAAAATACAGTACAGTACATATCCAATCTTAGTGGGCCATAGCCCATAGCTCATTAACAGAAAGTAACAATAAGTAAAGGAAAGGAAGGTACGGAATACAAAACCCGTCTGCCACTGCATTGTAACCCCGTATTCAGAAACATAGGAACTTAAGAAAAAACATCATCACACAATCCTGATCGACACATTTCAAAGAGCACGCCTGAACGTCAGATCATCAACCACCAAGCAATTGCGTGAGAAAACGAGAATGAGTTGCAAGCAGTGAATGCCTACTGGACACAATTATCTATCTAAATATGATATGTAATTTGTTTGGAATTCTATATGCCCCAGGATCCTCCAGGATCTATGGATATCTTTGGGACTGATATTTGATCCTCAGATTGCAGGTTTGCTGGAGTACGATGCTTGATCTTATGGTTTAATGCCAAATTGTCCTTGCTGTTTCCAACTCGATCCACTCCAGATCAATCTTTGCGAATTTGATCACACACTTGAAATTTGTTTGCTTTCCTTTTTTGGGATTGCACCCAAGTATTTTTTGTTCTTTAATTCGAACCGCAAGCATTTTTTTCTCAGCACACCTGTCATCGCGCATGTTCTCACCGATCCATCCATATTCAGAGTGGCCAGCACTGAGTCTTCAAGTCTGTGTTTGTGAACAAGACCCGCTTTTCAATCAGAAGCTCAATGAGCTCATGCAGATCTTTGTTAGATTTTTGATCAAGTGTCAAAAACATCCCAGATCTCCAAAACACAGCCATGCTCCTTTTTGTAAGCTTATGGCCCATTGTGCAATACAGGAGCCTGTTCACTCTGCATTGGAACAGCTCATGCGCGTGGCGTTTCACCGGGTCATTGGGATACCTTATCACGCAAAACACACAACACAAACGCATTTTTTTTGCACAGTGTTTCCGAGACAAAAAAGACGCGGGCTGCAGTGGTGGCCCAAAATCCTCCAACTCTAGTGCGAAAACGTGCCATGGTGGCTGTGTCTTAGGTGGCTGTGGAGGGCCTTTCACACGACGGCCTCAGTTTGCATACTTACATACACTCATATTGTTATCACTGCACCTGCCACAAGTACACTCACAGAGACACCATGCCTTATCGCCAGACCTGCCACACAAACATTGTTCTTGCCACACCTGCCACGCGCGCGCACCAACACTAATTTGTTTAACACATATTTTGGCCACACCTGCCACGCCCACAAGCACGCAACACTTCACATATATTCTTGCCACACCTGCCACACACAGAATCACATAGCTCATATATTTTGGCGGCGCCTGCCACGGAGAACCACAGACACGAAAAACGAAAACAAAACAAAAAAACAAAACAACACCTTCCACAAAGTTCGGAGCAACGCTTCTTTGGAGGCTCTTCCTTGCTCATTGCACCCATTGCTATTGATATGCACGGTTCAGTTTTTTGATCTTTGGAATTGCTGCGGTTCCGAGCGACATCCACCAAAAAATCCCAAACTTCGTTTGCAACACACATGGTTCTTGGAAAGCGGTTTTGTCACCATATTTTCCCGAAACCAAGACATTAAAAACAACAATGGTGAATTTGCAATCTTGAAGTTGTTGTGATGTGCAAGTGGCCACATAAAATTACACTTTCTAGATTCTAGAACCAATGTGTTTTTTTACAAGTAGATTTAGATATTTTAGAAATAGCTCTATATATTTTAGAAATAGCACTTTATATGTTAGAAATAGCCCTGACATGGCCACAGACAAAGAGGCCAACCGATGTCTTAATATATATAATATAATTTATATATATAATACAATATACATATATATAATATAATATACATATATATAATATAATATATATATATAATATTATATATAATATATATAATATTATATATATATAATATTATATATAATATATATATACTGAATTCACTGAGGTTCAAATCCACTTACTAAACATCAGATTATTATATATACACATAGTTTCATTCATTTTTATTCCCAGTTCTCACTATTTCCCATTCGACTAGCCCTATTCACTGAGTTATACTCCACTGCGGTGAGCCACCGTTAGGGCGAGGGCTCCGGGGTCAGCCAGGTGCTGTGGAAGTCTCGGCCCCGGACGTATCAGGCACGATGTTGCCGAACTGGCAGACCAAACGCAGCTCACCTGGATCAACTGGTGACTACGACTGGGGGCGAAAATCCCAGTGGTTCATAACCATCGTCGCTTCAGCCATAAACGGAGGTGTCCTAAAATAAGGGGTATCCCCCAAAAAACGGAACTATTTCAGTAGGATTTTCCATGAAATAAACCATCCAGCTATTGGGGTACCCACATTTATGGAAACCGGCTTAATTAGGTGATACACCAGGGGGTACTCACCACATACGTGGCATGATCCTGCTAGTTGGTGTCCTGAGTGAAGATGGCTTGGTTCACCCTGAGCAAACACAGCTTACTTGGATGAGCAATCAAGTACGAATTAATGCGACATCTTTGAAGCGAAGCGAACATACGAGTACTGAAACTGACACAGTTTATATTCATATTATGAACCGTTCTCAAGACCAAACTGGTTAAGAAGAACATACCACTGCTCCGTGATTGTTGGTTTACATTTGACCATTTGGTATTCTGACCCAGCTATTCAACACCAACATTTGCAAAAAAGATCAATAATCTACAAACGGACCCTTTTTCAGAATTGGAGGTGTCCGCCAAACGGGACCTCCAAATCATCCAAGTCATTGGACCATGATTTAGTAATGAAACAAACCATGGTGAATTGGGGATCCCCCATTTTAAGAAACCCCGAAGTTGTCGTCACAAAGTCGTGGAGGCACCAAAAATCGCGGCGGTTTCTCTCTTCGGACTTGAAGACACCGTCGGCGCCCACGATGTGGTATCCTCCGATTTCCCAGACATCCCCTCTGTCAAAAGCCTGTATCACCTGGCCCAACTCGCGATGAACTCATACAAGGTGGTGCCCCACCCAGTTCTGAATGGGTTACAATCCCATTAACTATAGATATATCACCTATAAACCATAGTTATTGGACTTATTTGCACCAACTTTGCGTTCACGAACTGGGGCACCACCTTGTAGAGTTCTCCGTTTCGATGGAGCTCTCGAAAAAAAATGGACATCTTGTGGAGCAGCGTCCAGGTGATCAAACCTGGGATATGAACAACAGCAGCCGTTCGTTCCAAAGGCAAATCGTACCTCATCGACGTCCAATCCTCCAAGACATTCTGGGTAATGATCATCGATATGGTCCTCTCTCCGACGTATCGAATGTTGTGTCTGCGCAACGCGTAGCCAAGACTGTGTGCCTTGTTACGGAGAACTTCGGTCAGCGTGTTGATGAGGCTGCTGACCTTCTCTCTCAAATGGGTTTGCAAAGTTAGATTCAGTTAGATGGGTTTATACACATTATTACAAACCATACTTAGATGTGTCCACCCATAAATATATATAAATATATATATAAATATAAATATATATATATATTATATATTATATATATACATAAATATGTCCATGTATATGTGTATATATATATATATACACCGCATAGACCATGATAAGAACCTCTCAATTAACTATGCTGATAGGCCGTCGAACATCCGCCACTTCACTGAGGCCCTCACCGCGCATCGCCTGAGGGCGCGAATTTGTCCAAGGATGGGGGACCTCATGGGGGGAATCAAACTGTAATTTCACCATGAAATCTGGTTGGTGGTTTTAACTATCTTGAAAAATATGAGTTCGTCAATGGGAAGGATTATCCCATATATGACATGGAAAATAAAATTCATGTTTGAAACCACCAACCAGAAATTCATAGGAATCTCTTGTGAAAGAAATCATGTCTATCTGGTTGGTGGTTGAGCCCTAGCCTACCCCTCTGAAAAATATGACTTCGTCAGTTGGGATGATGACATTCCCAAGATATGGAAAATTAAAAAAATGTTCCAAACCACAAACCAGCTAGCTTGTTGAACCACGAAAAAAGCAGCGCTTGTTTTATATGTTTTATCATCAACAGAGATAAAATAACGACTTTAATAAAGATGTTGGATTGATTTGGGTCTGCAATGGCATAATGAAGAAACACAATAATTTATGGGAAATTCATGGAATGTTTATGGAAGCATCTACCCAACTTGATATTATATTTGGGTCTGAAAAATGGTGGATACCGCAATTTATGGCAATTTCAACTGGAAAAAACATATAGTAAATTATCAAATCTGGGGTATCTTAGGGTACAAGTACCTTAGTTTCAGACAAACTTCTTGCATCATATATCCTGTACTGCACTTCATTCTTTTGGTGAACCATTTCGCGAGTATTCGGCTATCAAAAGAGCTCCTTCCAACCGCACATCTATTTATTCCTTGAGAATAGTGGCAACAGTGGCAACTAGCTCATAATGTAAATCACAGTTCCCAAGATTTTCTGACAAAAGTGTATGATAATAAAAATAAGTAACATGTGTTTTAAATATACATACTCATTAATATCTATTTACACTATATATACATACTAAATTTTGTTTCTACAGGTTTCAATCCCATCTTAACTTGTTCTTTTTTGTGACTGCCCACAGCGTTCGCACCTGATCAGCAGCTTCGCAGCTGGTGGTTTCCACCGACAGATGCGACATGGCCGCAGACCTCGACCAGGGACGGGGACCCCAAAACGTAGATTTTACCAACCAAAATGGTGAGTTACAACTGGTTGGTGTCCCATAGTTAGCTAACTTGGTTTATAAGTCCAATAACTAGGGTTTATGGGGGCTATATCTATAGTTAATGAAGATTATAAACCAACTTATAAGTAGGGGGGTACCACCACCTTGTAACCAACACAAATGTGGACTTAACCAATAGAAATTGTGGTTTTACAAAGATAAATGGTGATTTAAACCATCAAAATGCCGATTTGAACAAGAACCATGGTGAATTTTAGAAAAAATAAAGAAACGTCGCGATTGAACCAACCAAAAGGTGATGTAACCAGCTAAAATGATATTTTTACAAGAAAAACTATGGATTTCACCAAGAAAAACTATTGGCTTTATAGTCGATGCATGATGTGTAAGCTCCTGTATAACTGGGTTGTTGGATAATGTCGTTTATGGCTGGATTAACGGTTGGATTTTGGTGGACATATCGATGATCTTCGATGGGGGGAACTAGAGCAGTTTGCCCCCCACGATAGGCACATGCTTTGTTAACCTCTACAAACAGTTGCAGTTACATAGGTATTAAACCAGAACGTGTGAAACATTTATAGGTACAATTTGATATATGATAGGTAAAACCCAAATCCTTTCGTAAGTTGGTTGAATAATAACTAGGTGAGTGAATTCAATTGGGTTTATGATAGATAGATTGACCTAGGTAATGAAGTTTATAGACAAACAAAACCGGGGAGGGGCACCAAATATGATATAGGCACCTTGTTAAACACCACTAGCTGAATAGATGGACACACAAACATTTTTCAGGATGGTATGGAGGATCTTTGCCTCATAATTTAAGCGCAAGTTTCCAACCTGTCTACCTATGAGTTGCTGTCAGCAGGAAAACATCAAAAGTGGTGGTTTGGCCAACATGGAAAGATAGGATGAACATCTACCACCAACATTGGGGAAAAGCCGAAAATTCACCTCGCTCGAGCCTTTTGAAGACCGTTTAGATTTCACCATGACATGGGCTCCTCGAGTGATCAAAAGTTGCCCATGAACGGCCATGGTAAATCCCTCCAAAAAAGGGGCAAAATTTCCACATCAGATTGAAGCTAGGCTTACATCCAAATACATATCTGGTTGGTGGTTGAGCGGTGGTATACCTACCCCTCTGAAAAATGATGGAGTTCGTCAGTTGGGGTGATGACATTCCCAATATATGGAAAAATAAAAGTCATGTTCCAAACCGCCAACCAGTGTATATATGATTATATGATCATATATGTACCATAGAATATCATAGATACACATAAAACTGGTTGATGTTATACTACAATAAACAAATGAGTTGCTTATGTTTTCCATGTTCGGACAAACACAAGTTATGATCAGTTACATCCTAATTTTGGTGACATTCCGAGTATTCCAATTTCAATTGATATGTCATGAAATTCTTGCTGGTTAGATCATCATAAATTTGGTGCATTACATTTTTTTTAATTGGCAACCCTACTGTTTTTTTGTTACCCTCTGGTAAACGTTTACAGAGCTATGGAAAATCAACATCTTCAATAGGTAAATCAACGATTTCTATGGCCATGTTCTATGTCGCAAACTGTAACAAATTACCAGAGGGTAAGTAAATCCATTCTGTTTGATGAATCGCAATGCCAACTTGTTTGGATTCAAAGGTGAACCCCGGAGCAATGTGATGACCTCCCAGCTTTGGACCGAAGGGGTTGATATCCCCGATCATCCCCCGAAGAGATTAAGTGGTTAATAACTATAGATAGTTGTTAATACACTTATTAAGTAGATAGATTAAGTAGATATTGGACCATATATAGCCACTATTAGTGGTTAATACACTTATTAGCTAGATATAGTCCACTACTAATGAACCACTTATTAGTTACTTATTAATCTACTAATAATGGTCTCTAAAGCCACTTATTAGCCACTATCATCAACCACTTGTAGATAGTGCACCCATTTACAGACAGCTGAGGCCGCGATCCAGGGACTTACCATACGACTCGTGGGATGATCCTCCAAGTAGAAGTATAATTTATGGTATAGGTATATTTATTTTAAAAAAATATTTGTACAATATAACATATATATATATACACATAAACATTTGCTATATATATATATGTATTATATATATATATATTGAATATCATGGTTACTGTAATGATATCTAATGATTGTTCATGAACATGTATCTAAGTTGGCTTGCACGTATGGTAGGTGGGGTTTATGGCAGTAGGTGACGGGGCATACAATCCAACTATATCCAACTTATAACTGGGTTGCCAATGCAGCACCGTGTGGATTACCATCTGGTAAAAGTTTACATAACTATGGAAAATCACCATTTTGAATGGGAAAACTCACTATAAATGGCCATTTTCAATAGCAAACTGTTAGTTTACCAAAGGGTAATATCTCCAGCTTAAGCCCCAACTTCTTCCCTCCGGTCCCTCGCGTCGGGTTCCCCAGACGTGGTGACAAGTCCACTGAGAGCGCCCTTGGCAACGGTCACCTCGATGCCTAGCAAGGTGCACGGCTGTAGTACATGAAAACCTCTCCGGGTCTCTGAAGATATGAAATAAGCCTGGAATTCGTGGGGGTTGAAACATATTATACCACATAATCCAATATAATCAATCTCATATGTCGTATACATCTATTATATCCCCACTAACCACAAGTATACATTTCTTGATTTCTTTAATCGTCTGTGGGTCAAGCCATCCTAAAGTTAGGAAGATGAACATCCAAATAGCATAGATGCTGTCAATTTTATTGATGGGATGTTCATGATGATACCGGCGTTTCGACCCATACTAAGGATGCTTGTGAGCCAAGATATTATCTACAAGATCGAACACATTCCCGAGTGTGGTTTTCATAACGCCTCTGAAGATTTGGGTAAAATAATTAGAATCATCATTTTCCATGGGGACCACTTATTCATTTTCAATTCATCAAACCACTTTTCTCCAGCTGTGAATCTTTGGACTTTTTGAAACAAACAACACCCAGACCAGTCTCCAGGGGTGAAACTCCACCAGTGCAAGGGAGTGTGCCCCCTCCCAGATACAAGTTGGTTTCTAACCCATTTGAACTAGTTCGGCATATATATATATAATAAATAATACATACATTGAACCTGCTGAATCTTCCACCAACTGAGCTGTCATAAATCAGCTAACGCCCCATGAGATCACCCTGGAAAACCCCATGACTTCGATTCCATTCGTCTTCCCGAGAGACGGGACTGTGCCAAGCCATAGAACTTGGGGGCATATCTGAGATTTAGCCATTACATATGCCGTGAATATATAGTGGATACCTCCATTTTATCGGTTCCACTGGCCATTGATATTACATCATACTGGGGGATACATCATTGGTTGATACCCCAAGTTCTATATTCCAATTAACCCATTCTATCTATTAATACTTGGATGCACATCCCACTTAGGATCCGTGGCTTATACTCCATATATAACCCATAGTTCATCCCATATATGTATATATATATATATACACATTTATACACTGGTTAAAACCCATGTAATAACCCATATGTCATCCCACATATAAGTTTATATCAGTGGGAATATTCCATATTCAAATCTGGTGCTATAACCCATTTCAGCGCCTGAGACGCAGGACCTTGGAACGCAGCTGATCTCGATACCTCGAAGCGCAAGCGGATGGGTCAAGTTGCCTTGTACTATACACAAGGTGAACATCAAAATAGTTGGGTTTTATGCATGTTATATCCCATTATATATATATATATCCCATGATAATCATCATCGATCATTGTTACTAGCCTTATTTATGTGAAAATCGAATCTGGTTGGTGGTATACCAACCCCTCTGAAAAATATGAGTTCGTCAGTTGGGATGATGAAATTCCCAATATGGAAAAATAAAGATCATGTTCCAAACCGCCAACCAGATGTTCATCCCCCTAAAAAATACAATGACAGGTATTGATCGATATTGATCCATGGCCATCTGCGAATTTCGTCCATAAAGTGAGGATTTTTTTTCTAGCAAGCCATGTTTGATTATCAGAGCCCTGTTTTTAAGGGATACCCTCCGGTAAACTAGCATAGCGATTGAAAATGGCCATTTATAGTTGATTTACCCATTAAAAATAGTGATTTTCCATAGTTATGTAAACGTTTACCAGAGGGTGTACCAGTACCACTTTACAAATGCTTGAGTAAACCGCACAAACACCCCATCCAGCTCGGGTGGTTTGTACTTGGCAGGTGTATTTTTTGGTTTACCATATTGTATGGGAATATCAAAATAATAACAGCAACAAAAGAAACATCGTTTACCCTGGCATCTTTTTGGGTGTTGCTTTATACATATATATACATAATACATATATATATATACATCCACCTTACATCTCATTATATCCCCTGATATTCCCATAAATATCCATATTGTTGGGTTGCTGTCCACATATCCACATTTTACCTCTATATTAAACCAAAACAAATTATCTCCAGATTATAAGTATTTTTCGTTTTTTATAACATTAAAAAAAAACAGATTTGTTATAAAATATGCATATATATCTATCTTAGATTATCCAGGTTAGATCCCCTAAAAACCTTGCAAACGTTGGATCTAAGTGTCCTATCTTGTTGGGGGTTGCTGCCGCTGCTCGCGCCTGTGTAGCTTCCCAGGGTGCCACAGGTAGCACTCACGGTACCGACCTGAGTGATCTGGTCGGCCAGGCGGGGATGAAATCAGAACAGATATCATGATTAATCTGGAATTATCACACTAGATTAATATGCCATTAGTAATGGGTTATTACATGATATATAATCTATAGATATTCCAATCGATTACTAATCTACTTGGTGGCTCATCCCACGGCTCGTAAGTGGGTTATAACCCCAGTTATCAGTGGATGAATACCCTACTTATCCCATTTATAACTGGGGTGAACTAACCCACTTACTAAGTGGGATGAGCCACCAAGTAGATTACAATCTAATGATATAATGGGACATTAACTATAGTTATATCTACCAGAAACATGGAAATCTAACATGTCAATTACAATGTGAGGCCCTCGTTCGATAGCTAAGTTGGTTTATAACTACAATAAGTAGGACTTATGGTAGATATATCTATAGTTGATGGGGGTTATAACCTAACTTATAACTGGGGGGCCTCACATTATAGATTACAATCTGGAATTATATACCCTCTGGTAAACGTTTACATAACTATGGAAAATCACCATGCTATTAATGGGTAGATCCACTATAAATCACCATGTTCAATAGGCATGTTGGTTTACCAGAGGGTATTTTTTTTACTTATTGATTCTATATATTAGAATCTGATTTCAAAAGACAAATTCAAGAAAAGATAGATCATCATTCCCTGGACTCCTTCTTTGGTAAAATGTAATTATTCCCTGGTGGACAAGTATTTTCAAAGGTACCACATGACAGGATACCATGGTTTTGAAACCACCAAAACGAGGGATTCAATGATTCCGTACTTTACTCTTCCCTGCAACCAATATGTGTTTATACACAAATAAAATATCTATGGGTTCAGAAAAACAAAGTGGATAGCAACTAGTTTTGTTGCGGGAACTGCTGAAGACTGAAGAGTAAACAGCAAACAAATTGTCACTTCCTCCAATCTCCTCCAGTACCTTTGCAGCCTGATTGTGCAAGACTGGATTCAATCCGTTGAGGTCACAGCCTTTCCGCTATATCCTGACGTCGCATCAACAGAAACTGCTCTTGCCTCTTGTTTTTCCCCACCTGCCAGGTGAGGGTTGTTAGATTTTATGTCAGTTGCCTCCTCCTCCTCCTCCTTCTCCTCCTTCTCCTCCTCCTCCTCCTTCTCCTCCTCCTCCTCCGCCTCCTCCTGCCTCGTCCTCCTCTCCTCCTCCTCCTCTCGTTGTCCTCCTCGTCCTCCTGCTCAACTGCGCCTCGCGATCCACAGTGTTCTCTGTCGGACCTCCACCACGACCATCCACGCCCAGTGTTCCCTGCCGGACCTCAACCACGACCATCCACGCCCAGTGTTCCCTGCCGGACCTCAACCACGACCATCACCGCCAGTGTTCCCTGCCGGACCTCAACCGCGGGTATCCCCGCCCAGTGTTCCCTGCCGGACCTCAACCACGACCATCCACGCCCAGTGTTCCCGGCCGGACCTCAACCGCGAGTATCCATGCCAAGTGTTCCCTGCCGGACCTCATGTAGGAAGATATGGGACAAAGAATGTGCAGAAGAAAGTTAGAAAGAATGTCAGACAAGTATGTTATATATTACTTGCAAACTAGATATGCCAGAAGATATGCCAGAAGATGGTTCAGATAGAATGCCAGATAGAATGCCACAAGGTATGCCAAATAGAATGCCAGATAAAATGTCAGATAGAATGCCACAAAATATGCCAGATAGAATCCCAGAAGATTTGCCAGATAATATGCCAGAAGATATGCCAGATAGAATGCCAGATAATATGCCAGAAGATATGCCAGATAGAATGCCAGATAGAATGCCAGATAGAATGCCAGAAGATTTGCCAGATAGAATGCCAGAAAATATGCCAGAAGATATCCCAGATAGATATGTCAGAAGATATGCCAGAAGATATGCCAGAAGATATGCCAGAAGATATGTCAGAATATATGCCAGAAGATATGTCAGATAGAATGCCAGAAGATATGTCAGAATATATTCCAGAAGATATGCCAGATAGAATGCCAGAAGATATGTCAGATAGAATGCCAGAAGATATGCCAGATAGAATGCCAGAAGATTTGCCAGATAATATGCCAGAAGATATGCCAAAAGATATGCCAGATAGAATGCCAGAAGATATGCCAGATAATATGCCAGAAGATATGCCAAAAGATATGCCAGATAGAATGCCAGAAGATATGCCAGAAGATATGCCAGAAGATATACCAGAAGATATGCCAGATAGAATGCCAGAAGATATGTCGGAATATATGCCAGAAGATATGCCAGATAGAATGCCAGAAGATATGTCAGATAGAATGCCAGAAGATATGCCAGATAGAATGCCAGAAGATTTGCCAGATAGAATGCCAGAAGATATGTCAGATAGAATGCCAGAAGATTTGCCAGTAAGAAAATGTAAAAATGTCACGGTGGGGATCACACGAAGTAAAGTAATTATTTCTCTTGTTTTTTCCTTCGTTGTGCTGGGGGCCTGAAGAGGCAATGACGGCTGCCCCGTCGAAGAGTCGAAGCAGGAGGTCTTGGTATGAGCTGGCTCCGTGGCGCGTCGCGATGATGGTCTCGCTCTGCCAGGGATTCTGAAGTTTCCTGCAGTGCCATCTGCTGCGGGAGATCGGCTGCAGAGATGAGCTCTGCCCACCCATTAAAATTGAAAAAACAACAGCAACATCAGCGCCGCCTTTGGCTCTGGTGCAGGGAGCTCCAACGTGACGCCCATCTGAGATCCACCTTTGAATTAATATCATCTGAAATTAACTAACCCCAATTATCACTCCAAAAATACAAATCTCTATGGATCCAAACGAGCAGTGTTCAAAACCCTCTGTCGTCCCTATATACTGCCTGACTAATGGGGATTCAGATCATGGATTTTGATCATCCCGAATATATTGGTTAGTATAACTCTACACAATCATCAACCAACTGGGGTTTTGAACACTGTTCGTTTGGATCCATAGAGGGCATGTGTATATATATATATATACATATAATATTTACACACACAGATAGATAGATAGATAGATAGACAGACAGATAGACAGATAGATAGATAGATAGACAGATGGATGGATGGATGGATGGACAGATAGGATAGGATAGGATAGGATAGATTAGATTAGATTAAATTAGATTAGATAGATAGATAGATGGGTGTGTCTGAAAATAGGTAATGTACTGTACCGGCCCCAACTTAATAACCTTCATCATTCAGAATGGGATTGTAAGGATCCCTCTCCTGGTTGTGTATACTAGGCAACTACTGGAACGATCTTGCATGGATATATAATTATATGAAATATTATATAACACATGAATATTCATTTTTGTTATGTATTACACATAGTATATTATGATAATATAATATATATAATACCGTTATAAATATTTGTATACTCATTGTATAGTATTATATTCATTGTATTGTATATACTGGTATGGTATTACACATATACCGAAAACGATCCAATCCGAGGTGAGGCATCGGACATAGTTGCCGTTGGTGAGGTCACCACAATCCTCAGCTTGCGGACGCTGCATGGGAAAGGCATGTTAAACTCTGGTGAACTAACAAAAAGCAATGGAAAATGGCCATAGAAATAGTGGATTTTCCCATGAAAAATGGTGATTTTCCATTGCAAACTGTTAGTTCACCAGAGGGTATTTTCAGAGCTGATGGTTCCAAGAGGTCAAAACACATGACGATAGTGAGACTTTGAGAAACCCAAACAGATGTGGAAACAAATCATCCATTCCCCCTACTATGACACATCCCAAAAAAATTGCTTTAGGGCATTTACACATATGTGGCATCATTTTTGAGCTAATATTAGGGGGATGGGATTATGAAGTGACACCAGCAACCAGGAAACCCTCAAATAGAATATCAGGACTCTCAGAAACATCATTCTCACTTGCTTGCGCTGAGTCTTGACCTTGAGATTCGTCGGAAACTCGCAAGGGTTTCCATTGGATCAAGGGCAACCAGGTAAATGGTTCGTCCAGGAATTACCCGGGAGATTAGCTCTATGTTTAGATAAGAACATGTAAACAAAATATGAAGATAATGAACCCAGGTGCACCTAGTAGGCACCCCTGACTGGCGATATGAATCTGAATGGTGAGTTGGCTATATTTCTTAATTTTAAACGTTGCTCGGTAAATCATATGGTTGATGGTTAAATCCACAATTGAACCTTGAGTCCCCCTAATTGGAGCATCATACCACTTAGTCGCTGGTGAAAACACGATAGTTTTTTCAGTTTTAAGCATGTCTAGAAACCAAATACTAAGTGGGCTATCCTGAAAGTAGTAAACACAGTTGTTTGCCCCAGTCAGTAATCCATACATGTTCTTCCCGCATTCTCCTGATGCTTGAACTCCCGCTGGTTAAGTCACAAGGTTCATACGACGCAAGGCTCCCCCAATTTTAAGTTGGTTTATAGACCCAACGAACTGTAGATATATCCATTACAAGTCCAAGTTTTTGGTGACGGCGCCTCTAAGAGGCCGTGCGCGTACGTCATTTTTCCTGTCTCGTCTTTTACGGTTCGTTGGGGGGTGGGGTGGGGGATGTTAACGTTCATGGGACTTGCACACTTACGTGATGCTACGCTACTGCACGTTCTCTTCAAGGTATACAACTACGTGATGCTACGCTACTGCACGTTCTCTTCAAGGTATACAACTACGTGATGCTACGCTACTGCACGTTCTCTTCAAGGTATACAACTACGTGATGCTACGCTACTGCACGTTCTCTTCAAGTTTTACAACTACGTGATGCTACGCTACTGCACGTTCTCTTCAAGGTATACAACTACGTGATGCTACGCTACTGCACGTTCTCTTCAAGGTATACAACTACGTGATGCTACGCTACTGCACGTTCTTTTCAATTTACACAACTACGTGATGCTACGCTACTGCACGTTCTCTTCAAGGTATACAACTACGTGATGCTACGCTACTGCACGTTCTCTTCAAGGTATACAACTACGTGATGCTACGCTACTGCACGTTCTCTTCAAGGTATACAACTACGTGATGCTACGCTACTGCACGTTCTCTTCAAGTTATACAACTACGTGATGCTACGCTACTGCACGGTCCCTTCAAGGTATACAACTACGTGATGCTACGTTCACAAGCTCTTCTTTTGCACTTGCGCACTCTTGTCATGCTACGTTGCGGTCGCTGGGGGCTGTTGGGGTTGTGTTAGCAAGTTCTTTCTTTGATTTAAAGATATTTACCCAAGGTGTAGTTTTCTACATGCATCTAATGCTTAATTCCACACATATGTGTCACTTAAACATGGTTTCATTACAGGTTTCTCAGGTAAGTATGTTCATCATGCATTACGCAAATACCTTTGGCAGAAGAGTGCCGAAAAAAAAGCACTTGAAACTTCAGGCGCGCCGGCAAAGAGTTAAAAAAGTGATGAAAATGCTGCGAGGGGTTCCAAAAACGCATGTCCTCGGTCAGCCTTACAGTGTTTTATTCTCTATATTCATGATGGACTTCAATCAGAATGTGCAAAAACCTTGGGTTTTTGAAGCAATTGATTTCATCGGTGCAAATGCAATGAGCATAAAAACACGGCCTCTTACAGGCGCCGTCACCAAGTTTTTGGACCCAAGTTAGAATTACCAACTTACCTCTCATAAGCAAGTATTTTTTTGTATGTATAAACATAAACATATATGAATTAATACAACTCTAATTTGGTTGGATTAAATCCTTGCGTGTGTATCTCACACTTGCTTTCAAGGTGGTGCCCCCGCAGTGATAACTTATATATATATATATAAAACCCTTAACTGTATATATATATATATATAATTATATATATACACACTATGAATCAGAGTCAACCTAGTTATAGACCAACTTAAATGAAGTACACACCCAAAAAAACAAACATGTGTGTTGATTGAACTATTTTTTTTGGTCCGGGTTAAGTCATAAATCGCCACTTTCCCATGGTTGTTGGTTGGTTGCTGAGTAGGGTGCGCCACCATTTTCCTAGTAAATCCGCCACCATTTTCCTAGTAAATCATCATGAAGCCACCATTTGAGCAATGTTCAAAAACCCAGGAACTGTAGTTTTATCCTCCACAAAGCCTTGTTGCCCTATAAACACTGGTAAAATACCATCAATATCCATCAATTAGTTAACCACTATTAGTCAATTGATCAATCGAGTTCATGTTCCATCATTTATTCGTCAAAAAGTGTAGTATATGGATTAGTGATTAGTGGGATGGTTCCTTATTGTGGAAAGTTTGTTCGCCTTAACTCAGCAACCTTGAAAGAGGGGTGTGGGCCTCTATTATGGATTTGTTATTCTCAGACCCAATTCTTTCAGGAGGAAACAAACATCTGGAATTCAAAACATATCCAAACCTTTTATCAAACATGTTGTGGGTAAAGTTGTTGCAATTATTTTTGAAAATCGAGTCTATTTTGAATCCTTAGAACTTAGAACGCGAAATTTCCCAGATGACCAATTTCCTTATTAAACTCCAAATAAAACCCAGCACCCAAACAATCTTTCAAGAGGTAGCCCATGACGGACTCAGATCCTCAACAATAGAATGGTTTGGATAGTATGTTATTGTGTTACAAAGGTGTATCAAGTTGTCTTTCAAATTTTATAATGCACTGATTCAAATAAATCCCTGAGTAAACAAAAGGAAACATAGATAAACAACAAAATTGGTATAATTTAAATTCCGCATTTATTCTTAGATGCCTTTTGGATTACAAAGAAACATGAATCGACAGTAATTAATTTGATATGAATTAGAATCCGTGTTAATCCTTAGATTTTTGTAAGGTTTCCAGAAAAATGAAAATAAATTCATATGAATTAACAGTTATTCTGATACTTTTTTCTAAAGGAAAACTAACGTACCCTCTGGTAATTTAACATAACTATGGAAAATCACCATTTTTAATGGGAAAATCCACTATAAATGGGCTATTTTCTATAGCTATGTTAAATTACCAGAGGGTAACAAATCCTTTTTTTGTTCGACCCCCGGTGCCTATGGCTCCACAAAAATCTCTCCGCGTTGCTGCGCTTCGGGTTCAGTGCGCTAATGGTAAAATGGAGGCCCCGTGGTGGAGGGACTTTCTTACTGTTTTCGAGGAAAAGGGCGCCCCTCCACTAATCAGCATTCAACATGTTCTTCTAGCTGATTTTGATGCTTAAAATATCTTAAAACCCCGTAAAACCCCTCGAAATCCCCATGGTTTATCCATTTTCCCATCGTATCCTCTGGGCTTCCCATACTCGTGCGAAGGCCGCGCCCGAGGTCACACCCGCGGAGGGCAGCAGCGTCTGGGCGAAAGGTGGACCCTTTGTCAATGCGATTTGCCGAAACAACACATGAACTCAAGAATGAATAAATGTATGAGTGCATGAATGAATTAATGGATGAATGAAGGAATGAATGATAGAATGACTGATGAAATAACTGAATATAGTGAGTACATGCATAAGTGAATGCATTGCATCGGATGCACCGACTTTCATCCGTGCAAACATTTTGTCGCGATTTCGGCGCGCCACGCCAAAAGCCGAATCCAATCTGAAGATTGTGATAGCTTATAGTATGGAGTGTGACATAACCCATTAGCCCATGGGTTATTAATGGCTAGTATCACAACATAACCCATAGCTAGATATGTTTGTGATCAACTTAACAAATGAAACATTGAGGCTCCAAGAACAACCATTGGGGGATTGAACGCAACAGGGTGCTGAACAGTTAAATGTCGCATAACCAGCAAGTTGTGGCATTCTACAGCAACCCGGAAAAAAAAGGACCCAAACAACATAGGGAACGCACATCATGAAAAACACATTCAAGTGGTGGCAATCGGTGCTGTCATTCTATGGTGCCCCAGTGGACCATTGTTATCCCAAAGATTTTGGGGCGGTTCATACAACCAATTCTCAATACGGTGTTTAAGGCTGTTGTGTTGACAACAATACAGCCATTTCACATTTTCCGCATGTCCAATCTAAGATATCCCTGGTTCGTTCAATATATCCCTGTTTCTAAAAACAATGGGTACTGAAGTACATATCCAAGGTTGACCCAGTTCCCATTTTGTTTCTATCCCTACTTCGATGGTTCGCACATCTGGTTGGTTTGAACCTGTCTGCAAATTATTTGTCATTCGGATCATGATCCTCAGTATAGTTGAAAAAATGTTGAAACTATAACATACCCTCCTTTAATCAAACAATTACTTTCCCATGAAAGACTCCTTGTACAGATCTGATTACCGGGAGGTTAGCCGGCGGTAATTAACCGTGACAATTGAAAAATTGATTAATACGAATTCCATTGATTTTCCCCATTGAAACACAATTAATCCGCCATTTTATAGGAGATTTCCCAGCTAGCCACCTTTGAATTACCGGGCTATCTGAAACCAGCGAGCCAGATCTGTTTCACCAAAGCACGGCCGTCTCATTCACCACGGTGATCTCTTGACCGAGTCCTGCCAAGGCGAAAAATGGCAGGCTGAGCCGGAAATGCACTTTTTATATAAGGGATACAAATATTATATATATATAATAATCTCCAAATATATATACATATATATATATATATATGTATATATATTTATTTATCATTATATATATATATATTGGTGGGATTTTACTGTTGGTCCTTTTTTGGGGGGTGATTTATGTATACTTTATATGTGTATGTACATATATTTATATGCATATGTGTATATGTACATATCGATAAGTATATATTCATATACATATATATATATGTATATGGATCTAAGATAAAATAAATGTATAGCACAGGGATGCAAAGACTTCAGGGACCTCAAGCGAATATGTCAAAGTTCGTCAGCTTCATGCTGAAGCCATTCACCAGATCCTACTTCAAGGAATCAGGGCTGCCCATTTCAACGATTCCTGTGCATAAATGCTACTTGAAATATCAGTGACTCCCTTACCGTCCAACAAAATTCTACATCCCATGGAATTCCATGTCAAACACTGCCATTTAGACTGGCCATATGCCAGTGAGTAAACATTCCCATCGGCTCCTGTGGGCAAACATCCCACTTCAATCTGAGTACATTGAGAGGTGTCAGCACCTGGATATCCCGATGCGAAGCATGCGAAGCGGAGGGGATCTAACGATGATGGACCCGGCTGGATCTAACCATGGTGAAAATGATTCATTTCTGGTTGGTGGTTGAGCCCTACCTACCATTGGTTGGTAATATACTGTTAATGATCATGGTTAATACTAATGGTTATTATATGGTTAATGATGCTTAATTATAATCTGGTTGGTGGTATACCTACCCCTCTGAAAAATGATGGAGTTCGTCAGTTGGGATGATGACATTCCCAATATTAATGGACAAATAAAATTCATGTTCCAAACCACCAATCAGATAATGTATAGCTAATGCTCTTGTTGGATGGATTGGATGTTTTTGTTGGGATGAACTGGTCCACTGGTGGCTTGAGGTCTTGTAGCAACTTACTTCCAACCTTCACCCACCGGCCGAGAACTGTCAACGTTCAACATGAGTATCAAATATTCCCGGATCAAAGATCTGAGTCTTTGTTACTACACACCCTAAATGTAACATGGGCTTTAGCAAGGACCCAAAATTCAGGTTCCATGATAAAATTTTGGGGTGTAAACCAGATCTACATTCACTCCAAGACCTCAGATTTTGAGTTGACTGAAAATCAAAGGGAAAAACAATGGATTTGATTCTCCTTTAAACCAAGAATATTCTCATTGATCAAACATATAGTTTACCCATAGATTTGGGGGATAAACATCCACACCAGTAACTACCAATCACAAGGTGGTGCCCCAGTTATAAGATGGTTTATACATGGTTTATAAATGGAGTTTTTTTTTCTGGGAAAATCATCTATTTCTATCGGCCATCTATACCATGGCTATGTTAAATAACCAGAGGGTAACATTTACTAACCACAAAAATCCCTAGTAAATGGAGGTTTTAATGTCTATAAATGGGCAATTTTCCATGGCTATGTTAAATAACCAGAGGGTAACCAGCTACGTAGGCTACCGTCCCCAGCTCCGGCTGTCGACTCACAGCCAGCTCCAGGGAAGCTCCGCCACTGGGAAGCCCCAGCGGAAGTTGGTTCCGGAGCAGCGCCTCGAGTCAGGTGCTGCCATATATGGTGCTGCCATATATGGTGTGCCATGGATCCCATCAATATACCACCAATGATGTTAGCATATATACCAGCACCATGAATCCGTCATGGCTTATCTTTGAAACACTGAGAAACTATGAAAAAGATGAAAAAATGTTGGAATAGATGATCATGTCATACTATACATGACAATATTTAATCATGTCATACAAAAACTCAATCATTTAGTATACATCGGATGACATTATATGATTTGGTCAATAGTATGACAATAGTAATCATGAGTTTCATCAGTATATTTGACGAACAAACTTAATCAGGTCATACTATTGAACAAACAAGATCAATTCTCACCCATAAATACGTGCAATTTGACTAAGAAACATTATGATCTAATCCGAAAAATTGAAGGGCTTGACCAGCAACAAACATGTATTTGGCCCACAAAAAAGTCCAGAGAATGTCAATATTCGGGATTTAATACGAATACGGAACTGAACCAAGATGTTTAGTTCTCTCATGATTTTCATGCCAATACTTGGATGCACAGGACCAAGAAGTGGTAATTGGAAGCTTAAACCAGATGATCCTTGTATTCAAACCTGCGTCAAAAAAATACATTAGTCTATTTATGAACCAACTTACCTATCTTTTGAAGGCCCCTCCTTGCACAGTCTAAGTTGGAATAAAACATGTATACCTACCTGATTGACAGTTTGCCGTGTCACAAAATATTGCTATCTCTGAGCAAGAAAACAAGGCTGTCTACCCTCATAATCAGCTTCTGGGAAACAGGGTTTGTTATTGAATATACTCTGGTGTGTATATTCAATAATAGCACAGTGGTCATTCTTGGGGCTGGATATCTTATGTGTTGCCGGAAGAATTGGCTAATTGAAAATTAGTATTGCCAAAAAAACAAAGGTGACAAAAGTGATTGTTGCTAATGGGTGCACTTTCGGGTATAGGTAATAGGAGAAAAGGGACTTTTCAGGCTATGTATTCGCGGATGTTGGCTAATTGAAAATTGGTAATGCCCCAAATTCAAATCTTCAAATATAGTTTTGCTATTGCATATATGCTGGAATTGGGTTACAAACATAAATCCCATCATTTTTCCAACACTAAACACCCCATTGTATTTATGGTCCCCAATATGTGGATTTATTCCCTACATCCACCAAGGTGCCTGGGAGCATGTCATAGTGGGGAAGGGATTACTAACCTTCATATCTCATTATATCCCATCATCATCATTGATCACCATGTTTAACTATTACATAAATTATATACAATTATATCCCATCATTATAATCACCATGTCCAACGATATATTTCACCACACATTCACACATTTCCCTGTAAGCCATTACTGGGGGAAGGAATTATTAGCTATTGGCCATTCTCAATCATTACTAAACACTATTATAACTATTAACCATTAGGTACTCCATTATTATCCATTTATACAGATACATCAGTATTATAATGAACCGCTATAGTATTAATTAACCACTATTATTCATCATCAACACCACGATCAACCACTACTAACCACTATATTCCCATGGGTTTCTCAGTGTTGAATATTTCATCCCGTTATATCCCATGATAATCATCATTGGTCATTGTTATTAAATATTAGCCTTATATGAAAATCGAACCTGGTTGGTGGTTTCAACGCCTCTGAAAAATATGAGTTCGTCAGTTGGGATGATTGTATATTCCCAATATGTGGAAAAAACAACAGCCATGTTCCAAACCACCACTTTGTTACCACTTTGTCGAACGCGTCACCAGAGACTGTCGCTGGCGACCCGATTTCGGGTGTTCAGCCTAAGCTGTAGATAACCAAACCTCAGTGAAACGATCATCCTTCAAAGCAGGTGGCAAAGTATCCAGGCCTTTCGAAATGCGCCTAAGTCCACCAGGGAAAAACTGCAACAGCCAGTCATCAATCAAAGAAATACGTTCAGGATTCCACGGCACTCCCAAGCAGCCCGTGTGCAACGCAAGTGCCCGTGAATGTGGGCGGCAAAATCTGTAAAGAAAGCCACTACCCTGATGTTTCAAGGATTCTTTGAGCATACGACTGAACCATCGCGCCCGCACTTTAAAGGATATCCCCAAAAGGTCACTCTGCGGTAATGACCGACCAGACTGCCATCTCCCAAGGTGTATGGGACCAAACTCGCCCGCCATCTGAAAATCCAAATACAAATGGAACTGCGACACCCAGATTAAAGGAAATTCAGCAGAATGAACTTGTCCCCAATACCAACTAAGCAACGTACGAACATTCTCATCGCCATACCATCGAACTGCTTGAGATGGAATACTTAAGGCAGAAAGAGGATGCCAACTTTCAGCTGGCACAGGAGTCGGTTCACAAAGTTGATCAGCCACTATGTCTTCAGGATTTTCTTTTTCTGCAACAACGGCACGGCTAATGGAAAGCAGGACCTGTTGGACTGCACGAGATACATTGCGAGCAGCTAAAAAAGCCGCAACATGTTTGGCAGCAAACTGCCAGAACTCCCTCGAACGTCCATGATGAGCCTGCACTGCGGCCTTATCAGCAAAACCATTGTTAGTAAAGCACCATTCTTGAAGGGGACCAGTAGCATGATCACTGTGTTGGTGAGCAGCAACCCTCGTAATGACAACTTGATTAGCATTAAGGTTCTGCAAAATGTCAGCAATGCAATCCCAAAGGTCTGAATGCTTACTATTAGGTTTGACCGGATAGCCGTTCAGCAACCGCCGCAGTCGTTTGACAACTGCTTTGCAATCTGTCCAGAGGAAAATTTTTGCCCTGGAGGCACTCGCAATAGTCAATGCACGCAAAATCGCAAAGATCTCCGCCCTGTAAGAACTCTGCAAAAGGCCTGGCAAGGGGCCTGAGTCCAAAACTCGACTGTCCTGCAGGCCCTCGACAGAGGCAAGAACAACCGCCCATGCTGAAACTCTGCACCCATATTCTTGCTGATTAATGCAACTACCATCAGTGAAGAAATGCAGGTCATGTTCACAAGGCCCAAACATGCGAGCATCTGGCACTCGTGTACAAGCAAGGCGGCGGAACCATTCAAAGAAGGTGGAAGGAAGAAGACTCCATCCATGGCAAGTTACCGTTTCAGGAAGATTAGGGACTAATGCAGCAAACCCTAAAGGCAAAGCACTTCGGCATGATGCAAATCTCTCACAAATCCAAAAACGATGAAACCGGCTGTCAGTGCATTCACAATAAGGGCAAAGGGTGCTTCCATCTGGTTGGCAATGTGCTTTGGCATCCTGTGTGATGTGTGTTCCATTAAGGCATTTTCGCATGAGAGCACGGTCTGAAGGGGTCAAGGAGCTAAGCCACTTACGCGTGTCAGCTGCATCAACAAAGTCAACATGCTGAAGTCCTGGTCTGTGTAGGACCTCCCTCTGTACAACCTTGCGCCATGACCATTTGACACGCAAAACCAGTTCAGAAACACAGCAATCAAAAATGGAAAAAGGGCCAATTTCATCGAGCAGGAGACCATCAGGGAGTATGCGCCATCCCAGAGCCTGAATCCTCACAAGCAAGGTATTGGTGATGCTATTGGCCGGCATGTTTTGAGAGCCATCAACCAAGGTGGGCAAAACTTGTTGGATGTACTCACGCTGACCACATTCCCTGACAAACCGCAATGTTTGAGCAATCGCCCAACAGTGGGGATCACACATCGGGTCCTCGACCATTCCCATATGCAAGAAGGCGTTAGACCCCACATCATCCACACCTAAAGCTTTCATAGCCCCTGTACGCAAACTGTGAAAAGCAGCTAGGCCTAATGTGCTGGCTGAAATGGCATGCAAAGCACGAGGCCAACCAGCCATTTTGATGGCATGAAGTTTGGCACCATAGGTGCATGCAGAAAGTCGCAGTCTAGGCCATAGGGCCGAGACAGATTGAACGCGATCCTGGGTAGTGGCATTTGTGTGTTTTCGAGAGAACTGGACATGTGCCCCCAAATTGCGAGCCCCTAATTTGACATCAAAACCCTGTTGGCGCAATTGCTTGCGTCCCTCTGCATCAATGGACCATGCAAACGTCTTGCGATTATCAAGTTGGAGGTCAACAGCTTGCACGAAGCGGTCAAGGCATGCTTTGGCACCTGCAACAAAACTGGGATGACTACAAATGACTTGCCAATCATCGACATAGGTTATGGCCTGACACATAGGAAAGAAAGCACTCATCCAATGGTGGAATGCAACGTCAATGATTAACATGGCAATGCAACTCAGAGCGCATCCTTCAGGAAAACCAGTGACACTGCCCACGCCAGCAGTCAGCGACCCTTGGATGACAAACCTCCGCTGCATCTGAGAGAGGGCAGCAGCCCAGCCAACAAGAACATGCCCTGGAATGCCCAGGTGAGCCGCCATTTCAAAGGTTGCAAGACGCGGAAGGACATTGAAAGCTTTCTGCAAATCTGCAACCAACCCACTTAAGGCAATCTGGTCAACAAAAGAAACTTCAATGGCCCACAACAGTCGAGCCCACACCTGGGCGGCATAATGCCCTGGCCTGCTCCCATAGAGCGAGTCAGGAAGAAGCGACTCCATGGAATGCAACGCAGCTTTCGCATGCCAAGTGGACCAACAACGGTATAAAAGACCAAAAATAGTGATAGGCCGAAAGTCCAAAGCCCCAGAAGGCTGGGGGACTTTCGCCAGGCTAACCACCTTCCCATCAACCAGTTGCTGTGGCCATACCCCGTCAGTTTCCGCGGTGTGGAAAACCCCACACAGTGCTTGGAGGACCTGGGTTGGCATGCTCAAGAGGTCTTGTCTGGACACCACATCAAAACCACTGGAGGTACGGGACTTTTTGCTACGCACACTGCAACGTAGACCTGCAGGTTCGACACCATCCCAGCAAAACTGCCCAGGAGGAAGGTGTGTTTTGGCAAATTGCACAATGACTGACCACCTACCTGCCGGAACATCAGCATGCCTCATC